TTTGTATGTTGTATTTGCGTTTGAAGATTTTACAATGCATGTTGTTTTTGTTTCAAGTTTAAACATCAAATAATTTTACATCTTTAACTTAAGTTAATAAATGATCAAAGTCAAATTAAAATTACAATTTCCGCTATAAAACAATCATTTGGACTGATGTAGGGAGAATAACATTTATCATATTAATTTTCTTTCAATTTATATTTATATTCTACGCTAGTCGTATTTGATACAATAGTGTCATAACTTTTTTTTAATACTTTTTAGTATCCATATAGATTCTAATTTAATGTTACAAACCTTTATCGAATATTTAAGGACAATACAAATATGTAGAATGATATAGGTCTCAGACAATTCAAAATCCCTATCTATTCAATCAAATTTTGCAATATTTCACAGCTTTCTAAATATTTTACATGAAGTTCAACTTCGTAGAAACCAGGTATATCCTTAATTGTACATGTATCATCTTTCTACATACCAATTTTCTATCCTATGTTTAAAGTCTTGTAAGGATATAATAAAGTTCGGAAGACAAGTACTGCTAAAATAACCCCTGGTTTTCTAAAAAACTTAAATAAGTATACTATGGAGCGCATTTATCCTAAATTTTTAATGCAAACTCATAAACAAGTAAATTTTGGCTCAAAATGGTCTACATAATATTTCTCTTTCAACAACAGCTTCATTTTTGCAAATTTATTGGTTAGTTTATAGGTAAACAATGACACCAAAAGCACTATTTTTTGTCAGAGAAGGGCTACTACTAAATTGGAGTGGGTGAATTGGTGGTTTGACACCTAAAGTTAACGTAAATCGCCCGTTAGAAACTAGAGTTCCAAACAAGATAAGTAATTATTAAATAATAACTGGAAGTGGTCGAAGGGACATAGTTTAAGATGGGTTATCTCCCTTTTAACAGTGAACAATATTGATGAATTACAAAATGTATGTTGGCGGACATTAAAACGCAACAGTAGATTATTCTTTTTGAATTTATAATTTTCAAATATGCAATGCTTGTAAAATGAATATATAACATAAATTGCATTCATTACTCCATTGTCTAAATAAATTTTGCAGTTCAAAAGTTGAATTCATTACGTCTATTTTAATCATAGCATGTGGTATGTACGTGCACTTTGGTTTTCTCCTTTTCAATGGTTGTGTGACAATCGAAGACAATACTGCTTGTAACCGATGCCTAAATGATTGACAGAAACGTCAACCAGTTCTTTTTGGCATGCTCTGAGCTATGTTTTTTCCTTCTGATCTAGCCTCCATATTGTCGTGAAATGCAACATTTATTTTACTGATGTAAGTGTAGGTATAGATTCAAAGAAATGTTTCGAGAAAAAAATAAACCTTTAAAAAATCAGGCATATGGGTTTCAAAAATACGGTATGCTAGATTACCTCAGATAACATCAGGTATTGGTTTTGTTTAAACAGAAAGAAGTACGGTAAACATGAAAAACAATTATATGAAGATTCGTCATGAATTAGTAAACAAAATCACCAAAGTGTGTGTTGCATTTCTAAAGTTCGTCACTGGTATCTGTGATTGTTATGTGGTTGTGTCGCTTTTCCGGATGCCTCTTTTATGTGAAAGGCTATATACTGTAAAAATCCTTGGTGGCTATTTTTACTATTATTGAAATTTAAACAGTCATTTCAATTCCTACCCTTGAAAAAATAAATTATTCTTTTATTGTATTAAGTTTAGTATTTTAAAAGTATAGATAATATCTTTTATAAGACCGAATTACGTGTGTGTTATTGTTGAAGGTAGATATGTAAGATAAATACGTGTATTAACGGTCAATGATCTTTTGTCAAAAAATGATGTCAAAATTTAAATCAACCTGTTGAAGTCTTGAAAAGGGTATGTAGGGCCAATTTCTCCTGAACTTATTTCAAACCAGGGCCATTCTAATAAAAATTATCGCAATCCTTTTTTTAAATTTACAGTATATCAACTCCATGACTTTATGTTACTTTAAGGTTCTAACAATATGACGGCATATTTCTAAATTATCTTGAACGACTGATCGAAGGCAACAACAAAAACGCTTTTAGCAACTAGTATATTGTAATTCGGCTGAACGAGATAAAAAAGAAGGGAGGGTTGAGATCTTATAACAATCTTTGTTGAATTTATTCGCAGCCTTTCTACAGATTTCATAGGGAATCAAGAATAGCTTCCCCTCCGGAGAACCTGAATTCATCCTCGGTTTTTGGTTGGGTTCGTGTTGATTATCCAATATCTTTCTGTGCAATGTTTTGTACTTGTTGTTTGTTTTTTCGTTGCTTTTCTTTTTGACATTGTTGTCATCTGTTTTTATTAAACCTTTGATTTTTTTTGTTGCCCCCTCCCCCCCTTAGTGTTTTCCCTTTCCTTTTCTAGACCCGGAGCGATTTAGAGATACAATTATTGTACAGACACTTGTCTATGGATTAAGATTGAAAGTATTATGCTATTTCGTGTCGTTTGATTGCTTCCAATTTTAACTAGAAGTATTCTTCACATCTTATTATTGAAGTGGATATCAATAAATGAAAAAGATAAAAATACTATTCAAACCATACCACTATATACCCTCCTCAGTTAATAATTATTCGTAACAATTTGAAAATTGTCCTGTACAGAAGAAGGAAAAAAATCGCTTGTGGAATGACTCGGGGTTTTGTTTTGTAGAATAACATATTCACAACCCTGCTTAGACAAGAGCGGATATTCCTAAATCTACCTTAAAGAATGTGTTAATGTTGTACGTTTTAACTGTGATATTTGCATAAATATGTATTTCGAGTTTCTGTTTTGTACCTTGTCGTTCTGCTCGTCCATCCGTTCGTCAGTCCGCGCAACAAATATTCTCGTTACTCTTATTGCACGTAAAATATACTTCTAAACAGAATGAATCGGTATTTGATTTTAAATAGCCTGATAATCATGAGTTTTCACTTGAGTTTCATCTTCGCCAATACTTTGAATTTTCCTTGATGTTGAATGAACGTCATAATGAATTTCATATTTTCGTCACATATATATCTCTAGTACAACAAACGTATTGGCTTCATATCTAAACTACAGCTTAACAGAAATGACTTTTGATAGTGATGACTTGTAACGTGTAAGAGCTTTGGGAGCTGCCAGACACCTCTCCCTGTTTTCCGTTGCATTGAACTAAGAGTTGGGAGAGGGGTGTGTACCTATGTCATAAGGCGTATCACCATGCAGAACTTGAAAAGAACTCGACAATGAAAACCATATGCAGGTCGGATTATTTATTTTATAAATTATAGATATAGAAATAAGTAGGTGTAGTATGATAGCCAATGAGACCAAATGATGTAGAACTTAACAACTTTAGGTCACCTTTAGGCCTTCAACAATGAGCAAAACCCATAACGTAGAGCGAGCTATAACAGGCCCCGTAAAGACAAATGTAAAAAATTCAAACTCTTGTCTTGTAACAGTCAGTTGAAAAGAGATTAACTCATCAGATAGAAGCAAAGCACCAAAAAATCTTAACAAAAGCACAAAAGACACAAAGTATAGATCTGAATGTACTCGAACTTACTGAAAGTCAATTCAAAGCCATTTTTTTAACAACTAAAAAAAATCATTTATCTAAGACTACCTTGCTTTGATTTCACTTACGTCATTTAGTATTTTGAGACAAATGATCGTGAACAATAAAGTAACGGCGGTCAAGCATTGCGAGATGATCGTATAAGATTTTGTATTGGATCGTGAAGGAATTAAAATTGAGAATACAGATGCAAGATAAGTAATCAACCTAATTCATTGAATTATAAGACTGTGACAAATATTGGAAAAATAAAGATGTCTGTATAAGTGGTTCAACATGTAAATATGCATGATAACTTGACTGTGGTTTTCTACAGCAGTTGGTTAAAACTTTTGACCAGTTGAACAGTTTGGTTAGATAAAACAAATTGCAGTTGGGTCAGAATTATTAATGACCTGCAATAGGTGGTGAGCAACACCTACAGTCAAGTTACAGTAAGTTTTCACCATTTTTATTAGCAAAACTACAGCGGCATTCCAAAGTTTCAGACCTTCATCGCAGTCGACCAAATTTGAAGAATCTAGTACACAGTAGATGTAAATAGATTGCTAAAATTGAAAAAGGAAATGGGGAATATGTCAAAGAGACAACAACCCGACCAAAGAGCAGACAACAGCCGAAGGCCACCAATGGGTCTTCAATGCAGCGAGAAAATCCCACACCCGGAGGTGGTCCTCAGTTGGCCCCTAAATAAAATTGTGTGCTAGTTCAGTGAAAATGGACGTCACACTAAACTCCAAAACATATAAATGAACTAAAATTAAAAATCATACAAACGGTGACCTATAGTTGTTAATTTCTGTGTCATTTGGTCTCTTATGGAGAGTTGTCTCATTGGCAATCATACCACCCACATCTTCTTTTTATATAGACTAACAAAGGCCAATTAAGCTTGTTCTTGTCCTCAATATGCACGATATTTTGTCAGTGGACGAAAAGCAAACAGAAGTCAATCAAGCTTTAAATCTTTAATATAAAAGAAACTAGCAATAAACATTGCTATATGATAATGCACAGAATCGACATTCATGAGGGTCTGGATGGGGTTTACAGAATAGAAAATAATGAATACAGAACTGAAGGACCCCCATCCAGACCCTCGTACATGTATTGTGGACTGCAGTACCAGTAATACATCCATACATACAATAGAGGCCATCATTTTACTGCTCCAAGATTTTATCAGAATTCAATACATTTGATGTAACGTAGTATATTGTTTTTAATTCAGACATGTAAAAGACGCAATGCACTTTGATGGAGGTGTTTTATGTGTCATATTGTTTAAATATTGTAACAATAATTAAAGATTGTATCACATCGTCGTGCTAATTATCCATTTAAATTTGTAACTGTTTTTCAATCCTTAATGAATAATAACTCATTGTTTTAAGCAACTGAACTGACACCTAATTTATTTGTATGTTTAAATTGGGTACTTTTTGGACCTTTGTACATGTATGAGCACATGGTCGAAAATTGATACGGAGATTATTGATATCTAGATGGCTAACAGAGGACCAACAGATGGTAAAGTTAATGCTTTTGTTTAATTTCAAGGATACATTTGGTTTCAATTATATTCTATGTTGTCATTTCATTAACACTTGTACCGTTCTTATACAATTACACATTATCTTATGATTTAGGATATTTGTACATTTGAATTTACGAACATAACAGCTGAAATTATCATAGAAATTCTACTTTTTTGTCCAAAATAGAAAATGAAATAAATTATGCTTATGCTCGAAACAATATGTTAGATTATAAAAAGAACTCAAAAAGAGGCAGCAACCAACCAATGACAAATAAGTTGTGGGACAACCTGGAAATCTACCGACGTCTGATTTCTGATAACTTTTGATGACTATTACGAACAAATGAAATTTTAATCTCAAAATATTTTAAGGTGTATCTCTACGAGAAAGTCAAATGATCCCAAGTTTATTTTCGTAACAGAAAGCATAACAGCCTGTTGGTAGAATCTTTTATGAGAATCGTGTTCACAGATTGCAAGTGACACATCATTTGATTTTATTGTTCTTCTTTGATTTAATGAAATGTAATGTATAATGTTATATAATGTAATGTAATGCAATTGTATTGTAAAGAAGTTGTTGTTATAGACATTGAACCTGCTCCACCATACGAGCCACCTAATAGATTTTTAAACATTTACCATGGACAGGGAACAAGTGATATCGGAAGAGGGTCACATCCAGCCCCTAATAATTTTATGTTCAACAGAGCTACATATCCAGAGCTTCCAGGATTTTATGATGAATACGGACACGATCAATTCAAGATGATGGAATTAAATTCGAAGCATAAAGCCAAGATGAGGCGTCAGCTCCATCAACAGAATACAACGGTATGAGCGATTACTATACATACTTTAATTATTCTTCCCTTAGTTTATTTATTTTTTACTTACATTGTATCATAGATCAAATTTATTTGTTCAGTGTATGTTCACTGGTATTAATATGTCTTTTGATTGAGTTAAGCCATTTCAATTGATATTTTATAGTGTGGCTTTCTATGTTGTGATGTTACACTATTGTTTCAGATAAGGGTGAAGGTTTGGTACCATTAAAACGTTTAAACCCGTTGCAATTGTTTGCACCTGTCCTAAGTCAGGAATCTGATGTTCAGTAGTTGTCGTTTGTTGATGTGGGTCATAAGTGTTTCTCGTTTTTTTATATAGATTAGACCGTTGGTTTTCCCGTTTGAATGGTTTTACACTAGTAATTTTTGGGGCCCTTTATAGCTTGCTGTTCGGTGTGAGCCAAGGCTCCGTGTTGAAGACCGTACTTTGACCTATAATGGTTTACTTTTATAAATGTTGACTTGGATGGAGAGTTGTCTCATTGGCACTCATACCACATCTTCTTATATCTATCTATCTTGAAATGTATCAAGTGTTAAAAATACTTGTTAACGCGCATTCTCAAAACGTGCGGTAAGAATATTCAATGACCCGATGTCATTATCTACGTCACAGCTATACGTTTTTTTTCAGATATAAAGTCGCATGACAATTCTACCTTCGTTTAATAACCGCCAAATACTTGTCATTGGTTTTTAATATATTGGTACTTGTTTACTTATTCCTTTGGTATCTTACGGATCTTTTCTCGGTAGACTTTTGGATTATCAAATATGTAATCTTACGGTATATTGTATGCTCCTTGTTGGTATATATATTCACACATACCAATAGGGAAGTTGCATGCTCCTTAAAACGTTTTACAAAAATTCACGAAAGGAAATGACAAGCTGAAAGAAGTTTTGTTGGCGCCAAGTAGTTGGAAGTGAAACGACCCACAGTATAGCATCAAATCGACAATTCTTCCATTTAAGCTCACTTCGGGAGCATATAAATAAGGAAGCAACGATGAAAACGAATTATACACTATTTGACTCACAGGTATTTTGAAATCATTTCGAATATGTGATCAATGGTCCTGTCAAAATCTTTCCATATGAAAGTGGTCTTACATTCGTCACAATCTTGAATGCGACATCTCGGGTTTAATACAAGGTAAGGTCAAACAACAATTTTACTTAATATAATAGTAATACTAATAATTTATATATGTTTCGTTTCTCAATCAAGCCTGTGGTCATTTAAGATTAAAACGGCATACATACATACAAGTTTGCAAAAAGAACGAATAATTAGAAATCAATTGATTAATTGATAGTTGTCACTTGCTTAACGTCTAATACCAACCACTTCATACATTTTCAAGACGAGAACAAATAAAATTAATTTATAGTTAGTTTAGACGGTCGAACGGTATGATGGGATGGAAAGTTAAACTAGAGTAGAAAATATTGTTTGTCGATGTTTACAAACGAGTTGGGATATTTCATTGTTTTTGTGTAGCAAACAATATATTCCTCTATATTTTTTTTTCCAATGTAGTATCTCAAATAAGCGTCTGGTAAGCTATTTTGAAATACTTGTTATTTTAAGAATGAGACTTGCTATACTCTCATACAATTTAACATCGAGGCAAGTGATCAAGGAGCTCTTAAGATCACTGCCTATTTTTGGTAAGTTTCGTGTTGCTTTTCTTCGAGTTTTTTGCTTAGTGTTTTGTAGACTGGTGTTGGATTTTTCGCCGTCTATTTATTTTGGATATGAATTTGTGGTTTTTGACTGTCTCCTGAGTATATTCTATCTTTCTCGTTATCTTTCATTACTACCCCTATATTTTATAAGCATTTTCCGCTAAAATCTTCATATTTACATGCTATTTATGCTCTTATAATATACTAGATAATGGAGTGTGTGTCCGAGCGAGAACTTCTCTAGTTCATTACTTTAGGAATATTTATCAAAGAGTAGTATTTCAATATTCAGCCCCATTCTACTATTTAGTCAGACGTCAGTCGCTACCCTGATATACCCTTTCTTTTTCGGGTAATTAATACGGATAGCGTTTGACATCTTTAGCCGAACAGATTTATCATTTTTACATAATTTAATTCATTGTATACTGGTTCATATTCTGGACGCCAGTCTTTGCTCCTTTCTAATATAATTCACAAACAAAAAACAAATATGAAGCTTAGAAATGGAAAAATATTAAATACTAAACTCGTTCAAACGGTATCTACACGTCTCAATCTTCAAAATCGCTTATCTAAAAATACTACCATCGCTAACATTTTTAACAATAAAAATCGTGGTTACCCTTCTATCGATAAGTGTCATGCCAAACAATAACTTACATGTCCTCGTCTTTCCACCAACAATACGGTAAGGTCCACGTTTAATGGTCGCACATTTTCTTTAAATTTTGAAACTGATATAACTTGAAAAACAAACAGTATAATTTATTTACTCACATGAAACAAACCGGGATGCGGTATTCAGTACGTAGGTGAAACTGAACGATATTTATCAAAACGCACTCAAGAACATCTGTATCGTTTTAAAAGACCCAATAAATTCAAAAGTATCATTTATCAACACCTTAAGAAGCACAATCATCCTATTAAATATTTTGCAGTTCAACCTTTAGAAGTAGTAAATAAGCAGCCTGGTGAATCTCATTCAAAGTTTTTACGATCGCGGAAAATAATTGAATTAAATTGGATTAAAAAATTACAGACAGTCTACCCTCTCGGTCGTAATGATAATATCATGGGAATTGGTAATATATCGAGAACCGATTCTGTTAACATTTTGGATATAGTTTCTAAAACTGTTCGTAAAAACCGTTCTCATGGTCGTAGAAAAAATCGCAATCAAAGAAAATTTCGGACCAATCATACCAATATTTCGGACCTAATTTCTATTTCAAAAAACAACGGCAGACATTATCTGTTAACAAAGCTCTGTTCATTACCGGTTAATAAGTTAAATAAAATTTTAGAGGATTGCAACACAATTTCATATAGCAGTCCTAAGTATGAAATCGTTCAAATTATAATGGCATATTGTTATTCTAAACTGTTTCCCAAAATTGATCGCTCTGAAGATCATAAAAAACAGTTTATTAAAATAAAGTATGTCAATAAAGGTTTTGATTTTGTAAATATTGCTGGTATTTTTAACGACCATTCTGTTAAAGAACAAATTCCGGGATATTTTGATAATACTGAGCTCCCTCTTATTTGTTATATTTACAAGAAATCTACCCGGAAATTTGTGTTTAATTATAGCCAATTGTGTAAAGATGTTAATATCAGTGAAAATACACCTACTTCATGTAATTGCAGTAATTCAGAATACATTTATGGACCCATTTCCCATGTTATAACAGGAGATCTTAACATCGTTCAAGTCCGAGAGTTAAAATCATTCCTCAGTAAAGGACCTAAGTATCGTCCCCCGTCAATTATTAATTGGAATGAGTGTCGTAATATCATCCACGACTCACTCCATACTTACTGTTTGAAATGGATAAAACGGGAAAAAGCTGACAAAAAATCTTTGGACTCTTTTTTTAAATCAGTAATGAACATAGTTGATATACGTATTCAACATTTTAAAGAACATTTTACTCTTAACAATAACCACAATAAACCTATTTCTCGTATCAAACATAAACTAAAAGAACTAGCCAAGGAATTTGTTTTTGTCCCGGCCGATAAAGCTGCTAATAATATTATTATTGTTTGACGTAAATTTTACATTGAAGTTCTGAAAAAAGAAATCACCAATTCACCAACATTCCAACTGACTCCATTTTCAGAAAACGACATCTGTAACAAACATAAACTTTTAGCTACCGCTTTACAAGCAGAACCAAATACAACGAAAGTCCCAACTATGTATTGGCTTCCGAAGCTACACAAACACCTTACAAATATAGATTCATTTCGTCTTCAAGCCATTGTTCCACTACTAAATTGTCTATTCTTCTTACCAGTACACTTGGTACAATCAAAAACCTGATAATAAATTGTTCAAATAAGGCCTTCGAAAATAGCGGAATTAATTACTTTTGGAGTGTCAAGAACTCGTTGGAGGTACTTGATAAATTGCATGCATATATTGGTGATTTTGAATCTGTTCAAAGTTTTGATTTTTCTACCCTATATACCACATTGCCTCACATTCTCATTAAGAAAAAATTCACACACCTAATTAAATGGGCATTTAAAAAGTCATAATGTGAATATATATGTTCAAACTCTTTTAGGTCATTTCTTAGTAGCAATAAACAAAAAAACTATGTCAATTGGACATGCTTTGATACTATATATGCCCTTGAATTTTTACTAGATAACATTTTTGTTCGCTTTGGAGATTCCGTATATCGTCAGGTTATCGGAATTCCAATGGGGACTAACTGTGCACCACTTATTGCGGACCTCTTTTTGTATTGCTATGAGTTACAATTTATGACAAAAATCAGCAAAGACCCATCGAAACAACATCTGATACACAAATTTAATAATACTTTTAGATATTTGGATGATATTTTGGCTCTCAATAATGACGACTTCAGTATGTATACTAAAGAAATTTATCCTGTTGAAATTACTTTAAATAAAGCTAATACTAACAATGACCACTGCCCTTTCCTCGATCTTGATATCTATATCATTAACGGAAAGCTTAACACTAAAATATATGATAAAAGAGATGATTTTTCGTTTCCTATCGTTAATTATCCATTTTTAGATGGTGACGTTCCCTTGTCACCATCTTACGGTGTTTATATATCTCAACTTGTACGATTCGCTCGTGTATGTAACAATGTTTTAGATTTTAACGAGAGAAATTTATGTATTACTGAAAAATTATTACACCAGGGTTTTCGATATCACAAACTAGTCAAAACATTTACTAAATTTTATCATCGGTATAAGGACATCATTCGTAAATATAGCTCAACATGCAGACTTCTTATACGTTCAGGTATTTCACATCCAATTTTTTATGGAAATATTCTTTATAAAGCACAAAAATGTCAGTATTCACCTCTAAAGCTAACAAAACCTTTAAATAGACTTATTAAGAAGGGATATAGTTACGATACTGTTGTCAGGTCATTAAAGATTGCATATTTTGGCGTTAATATTGATTCACTTATCGGGTCTTTGCATCGGCACTAAACACATTTATTTAAAAACCAGTTGTTGGCATGACACGGGTTATGTTCTCATATATGTTATGATGGTATGATACTAAACCCCTAACGGGAAGGATTGTGCCTGATATTCATATGATGAAGACATAATCTTTCAATCAGTTAAATTGAAGTCTGGAGCTGGCATGTCAGTTAACTGCTAATAGTCTGTTGTTATTTATGTATTATTGTCATTTTGTTTATTTTCTTTGGTTACATCTTCTGACATCAGACTCGGACTTCTCTTGAACTGAATTTTAATGTGCGTATTGTTATGCGTTTACTTTTCTACATTGGCTAGAGGTATAGGGGGAGGGTTGAGATCTCATAAACATATTTAACCCCGCCGCATTTTTGCGCCTGTCCCAAGTCAGGAGCCTCTAGCCTTTGTCAGTCTTGTATTATTTTTAATTTTAGTTTCTTGTGTACAATTTGGAGTTTAGTATGGAGTTCATTATCACTGAACTAGTATATATATTTGTTTAGGGGCCAGCTGAAGGACGCCTCCGGGTGCGGGAATTTCTCGCTGCATTGAAGACCTGTTGGTGACATTCTGCTGTTGTCTGTTCCATGGTCGGGTTGTTGTCTCTTTGACACATTCCCCATTTCCATTCTCAATTTTATTATCTCGAGAAAATAACACGAACCTGTTTATCTTTTCCCATAATTTTGTTGAGGTGTATACTATCCCTTGAAAAAGATGGCGGACTGGTATAGAAATATTTTACGGAAAAGAAAATAGTGGGGAAAAATAAAGAATAGAGAATGGTGGGATACTAAAATATGAAGAATAGAGAAAACATGTTTAACCTATAGCCGCATTATGTATGTACATGTGCCAGGAGCCTGAAAATCAGTTGTTGTCGTTAGTTGCTGTAAATCATATTTGTTTTTCGTTTATTGTGTTGTACATACATCAGGCCGTTCGTTTTCTCCTTTTTATTTTTAAAATTGTTTTACGTTTGTTATTTCGAAGCCTTTTATAGCTTGCTATGCAGTATGGGTTTTGCTCATTGTTGAAGTCCGTACGGTGACCTATTGTTTCTAACTTCTACATCATTTTGGTCTATGTGGAAAGAAGTTTCATTGGTAATCATAACACATCTTCTTATTTTTATATTTTATAACATATTCAGGAAGAGTAAAGTGGTCAAACATAAAATTCAGATCATCAAAGATCGATGCCATTTATTTGAGTTTCTACATGTATACAGTGAACATCTTTTAATAGATATAAGAAGATGTGGTATGAGTGCCAATGAGACAACTCTCCATCCAAGTCACAATTTGTAAAAGTAAATAATTATAGGTCAAAGTACGGCCTTCAACATGGAGCCTTGGCTCACACCGAACAGCAAGCTATAAAGGGCCCCAAAAATGACTAGTGTAAAACCATTCCAAAAGGAAAACCAACGGTCTAATCAATATAAAAAAAAGAGAAACAAGAAACACTAATGAACCACATCAACAAACGATAACCTCTGAACATCAGGTTCACATGCAATATATGTTCCGATAATAAACAAAGGCCACACACTTACGTTGCTGAGTATTGGATTTGCCCGCAATTTCGTTTAAATAAAACATATTCTCAAAGTCTCAGAAAATAATCCAGCTGATATTTTCTTTCGTCGATCATCTTTGCTTAACATTGCAAAAAGCATTTTTGAACATAAAAAGACATATTGACAAAATGTCAAGTCGAGGTCTTTTATAGCTGACAATACGGTTTGGATTTGCTCATTGTTGACGGTCATACGATAACCTATAATTGAGGGTCTGGTGGGGTTTATAGAAATGGGAATAAAGGACCAATACTACAGAAAAATGAGCCAAAAAAAAAAAAAAAAAAAAAAAAATAGAGAAAAATAGGCCAAAAATAAAAAAATAGAGAATAATGGAGTGTTAAAATATAAAGAAAAGAGAATAATGGGCAAACAAATTTATGAATAGAAAAAAATGGCTTAAAAAATTTAAGAATACAGAATTGAGCGACCCCATCCAGACCCTCATAATTGCTTACATACTGGCAATACAACAACTCCTAATTTTTTACATCAAAACAATAAATTGCAGCCGGCTCATGGCAACGACGTTTGTGTGAATGAACATTTTTTTTGTCTGTCGCATGTCCTATTCAAGGAATCCAGTGGAAACCAAAAAATAACATTTTGCCATAAAACTTTAAAACTATCAAAAAAATATTTTTCTATTTACAGGAACTGGCGACGGTACGAACAAGAAGTTCCGGCAGTAAACTTGGACTAATTTTCTTCTTTGTGTTATCGCTTGTGATTGTTGGAGGTTTTGTAGCTCTTGTCTTTTATGTTGTGTCTTCCCGTAGTTGATTTTGAAGGACAAAACAAAAACGGAATCGAACCTGTATTGTATTTTTTTTCTTTTTCATTTTTACATGTATTTTTACATATTTGTTTTCTCTAAAGAGATTAATATTTTACTTAACGTCAATTAGACAGCAATCCAATATCAAAATATAGCAACAAATAGACATTTACTGTAGTGTGTCTGATGATTTTATGCAACGGTTTATAGCTGTTCTGTTTTATGTGTCGTCTCTTATATGAATAAAAAAGAGCGGGAAAAGTATTGATTTAAGGTGTAGTGCATTTACTCTTATAAATGTATGTTGTATTTCATTTTTACTGGCATTATTGTGTGATATATGTTTCCTTTATCAATTAAAGCACAGAAAAAAGAACAAATTCATGTATGCATTTTTTTTATTTATGGAGTTGTTTGACTTGTTTACTTGTTTTCCCAAGAATAAATCACTTTCCCTTTGTTTAGCTGATACTTAAGTTAAACTTTTATATGTATTGCAAGTTGAGCATTTGTTTTGCAATACCTTTGAAAATAGATGATGAAGGTTCTTCAAGGAAAATTATCAATATGTTTGAATAATATAGAGTGCGGTATTTGCCATTTCTTTTAGGAATATTTGCCCTTAAATGACAATTTTAACAATTTAATTTTTGTTTCTATTGTTTTGAAAACTATAATTGTTAAAGATAAACTTTAACTTACAAAAATAATCAGCAAACGAAAAAAGTTCACTTGACTCCTTACACATATAGTAGTTATTACCCTTTAATGCATTAAAAAAAAACAATTGCTGTCAATGGCGGTTGTTTTTCAGTGTTTCTATAGTTTGTTCCTATAGAAATTGTGTATGGACGGTATATCTTGTGGTCCTTCTTATACGACTGTGTTCACAACTTTTCCTTAGAAACTAGAGGTGATTATAAATCTGACAGCCGCTATCAAAGACGTTGTGTCATGTTTTTTATATTTTATTCACAAAAAGGATACCTGGATAATACGCTTCAATGCGAAGCAATTCAACGACATAAGAATTACAAAAAGACATATACAGGCTGATATTCAGTTGAAATTAAAAGAAATGGAACTCTTTATTATAGAAAGTAAAACAAAAACCAAGTTGGTATATTCGAATTATTTACATTTGTTTGGTTCTATTGGCTTTAAAAGTTCAATGCATACTTTATGATTGTTTGCATCTTCTATACGTGTTTATAGTATGGAGCTTCGAGATATTTGTAAACTTTTCAATTTAAAGACAATTTTTCACAAAATATTTGATTGTGGTCGGTATAAATACAAGTGGATCTTTTTTGTGCATAAGCTTACCATATAGCATCCTATAGCTTGACATCAATTGTCGTTGAAACCCTGACGCAAACAGAATTTGTGATTTTGTTTTTATGTTGAACGCAGTTTTCTATTCCAATTTTCATAAAAAACAACGTATTTGTATAACGCCACAGCTGGAACTCTGATATTACTTTATGTTGTTTTATTATTACTTGATGATATTTTGTCTTTACTTAATATGGTTTTGACATTACGTAATGATGTTTTGATATAACTCAATATAGAATAGTCATTACTTAATGATATTTCGATATTACACGATATGGTTTCGTATTGATTTGATGTAGTTTTGTCATTACTCAATATGGTTTTGTCATTACTCGATGTGGTTTCACCATTATTTAATGTGGTTGTGTCATTAGTCAATGTGGTTTTAACATTACTTGATGTGAATGTGACTTAACGTTATGTAGTTGTCTCATTACATGATGTGGTTTTGTTATTTTGTAATGATGATTTGCCTATTCTTTATATGGTTTTAACATTACGTAATGATGTTTCAAAATTTGACGATTTTACACTACATGATGTGTTTGTTTCATTATTTGATGTGGTTATCCCATTACTTGATGAGGTAATATCACGTGACCAATTCGGAAAAACCTGTTCTATTTTTAGATAAATTTCCATGTTGTATGTGCTTTGGATGAGTGTGGCCATCCATCGAATTAGAGTTCAAATTAAAGTTCGGGTTACTGTTTGAGTTATACTTTGAGTTAGTCTTCGATTTCGAATTCAAGTCATTATTAGAATTAAAGTTTTAGTTAGCATTGAGTTTCGAGTTGGACTTCAGAGTCGAGTTTGAGTCACATTTAAAGGTATAGTTCTAGTTACAACATTAAATTTGAGTCACTTTTTGAGTTTGAGTAAGATTCGAATTTAAGTCTCATTCAGATTAATTAATATTTTGAGTTGAAATTCGAGCTATCTTATATGAGTTCGTAATTAAATTTTCTATATCGCGGAACAAGGACTTTTGCTCGGGCTTCCGAAAAGAGGGCTCCTGGGTATGCGTACAAAAGATAAACAATGTTACAGTATACAAAACGCAACATACATGTAGAAGTTTAAATAAAGTTATAGATGTGGTGTGATTGACAATGAGACAACTATCCACCAGAGTTTACAAGCAGTGGGTGTAAGAAATCATATATCGGCAACCGTACAGCCTTCAACACACCGTATAGTCAGGTCAGCTACAAAATAAAATTGAGAATGGAAATGGGGAATGTGTCAAAGAGACAACAACCCGACCATAGAACAGACAACAGCAGAAGGTCACCAACAGGTCTTCAATGCAGCGAGAAATTCCCGCACCCGGAGGCGTCCTTCAGCTGGCCCTAAACAAATATATATACTAGTTCAGTGATAATGAACGCCATACTAAACTCCAAATTGTACACAAGAAACTAAAATTAAAAATAATACAAGACTAGCAAAGGCCAGAGGCTCCTGACTTGGGACAGGCGCAAAAATGCGGCGGGGTTAAACATGTTTATGAGATCTCAACCCTCCCCCTATACCTCTAGCCAATGTAGAAAAGTAAACGCATAACAATACGCACATTAAAATTCAGTTCAAGAGAAGTCCGAGTCGGATGTCAGAAGATGTAACCAAAGAAAATAAACAAAATGACAATAATACATAAATAACAACAGACTACTAGCAGTTAACTGACATGCCAGCTCCAGACTTCAATTAAACTGATTGAAAGATTATGTCTTCATCATATGAATATCAGGCACAATCCTTCCCGTTAGGGGTTTAGTATCATACCATCATAACATATATGAGAAGAACATAACCCGTGTCATGCCAACAACTGGTTTTTAAATAAATGTGTTTAGTGCCGATGCAAAGACCCTATAAGTGAATCAATATTAACGCCAAAATATGCAATCTTTAATGACCTGACAACAGTATCGTAACTATATCCCTTCTTAATAAGTCTATTTAAAGGTTTTGTTAGCTTCAGAGGTGAATACTGACATTTTTGTGCTTGATAAAGAATATTTCCATAAAAAATGGATGTGAAATACCTGAACGTATAAGAAGTCTGCATGTTGAGCTATATTTACGAATGATGTCCTTATACCGATGATAAAATTTAGTAAATGTTTTGACTAGTTTGTGATATCGAAAACCCTGGTGTAATAATTTTTCAGTAATACATAAATCGGAGAATTCTTATTTTATAGTATTTATGCTTTGTCGCTAAGTCCGAGCCACCCCCCCCCCCCCCCCCCCCCCCCCCACCCCCCCGTTTCCCTGTAACTTTAGTGTGAGTTGATTTGAAGTGTTTCATTTGTTAACAATAAAGTTCAAGTCTTTTGATTTGTGTCGAGCCTGCGACATCAATGTAGCGGCAGTGAGACACAACAAACCTATATTTCGTCGTCGGTAGTGGCGTCGGCGTCTCCATCTCCATTTTTTAAAATTTCTATTGAGTTTAACCTTTCATTATACATGTTACTAAACATGTATGCCATCATAATTTTGTACTTTTAGAATATCATACTGTATTTGTTTACCTCAACTATTGTATCTGTATTTGTATTGTATGTTTCTCTGTAAACTTGTAATTATTTTTTAGAGAATAAAGTATCTATCTATCTATAGATCGTTAGGTTTCTAGTTTTTTTTACATTTTTCATTTCGGGACCTTTTATAGCTTACTATAGGGTTAATGATTTGATTATTGTTGAAAACCATACAGTTTTGTTTTAGTTAAATAAAACCGAATTAAACTGTTTTGACATGATAAATTTGTAAACCTCCATGAAGTGTTTTAAAACTTGTATAGGAGTTATAATTCCTCAATTTCAAGAAAAAGCATCTACAGAAAAACATTTTTTTTTAATTTTGTTTTTACCGATAAATGTATAGATAAATGTACAGCCGATCGACATGACGCTTTTACACTTACAGCAGCAATATCAGGCGAGACACAGGGTTCCGTGGAATATTTTACAAATTTATTACAAAAATACTGCTTCCGTTTGAGAACTTAGGATAAAAACAACAAGACCAAGTGGTTTAAGGATATCCCAATTATGTCCGAAGTACTGTAAACTTTTTAATACTTTTTTTCTTATTATTGTCCTTTGTCCCCTTTTTCATACCAAATAACTCTGAACAACCCAATCGAACTTTAATTTGAACTTTAACTCAATGGATAGCGATACCCATCCAATGCACATTAAACAAATTAATGATATATTGAAATCTGTTTAAAAATAGAACATATTTTTTTCCGAATTGGTCACGTGATTTTACCTCATCAAGTAATGGGATAACCACATCAAAGAATGACAGGACCACATCAAATAATGAAACAAACACATCATGTAGTGTAAAATCGTCAAATTTTGAAACATCATTACGTAATGTTAAAACCATATAAAGAATAGGCAAATCATCATTACAAAATAACAAAACCACATCATGTAATGAGACAACTACATAACGTTAAGTCACATTCACATCGAGTCATGACAAAACCATATTGAGTAATGACAAAACTATATCAAGTCAATACGAAACCATATCGTGTAATATCGAAATATCATTAAGTAATGACTATTCCATATTGAGTTATATAAAAACATCATTACGTAATGTCAAAACCATATTAAGTAAAGACAAAATATCATCAAGTAATAATAAAACAACATAAAGTAATATCAGAGTTCCACATAAGACAGCTGTGGCGTTCCATATATTTGTACATCTTCATATTGATGATAGCTCTACAAATTAAATTGCTTTCCAAGCCTTTACTCTTACTTTTCTAGATTTTGTGTTCACAAACACATTTTTTCTCAAAAATTGTGATATATATGGAAAAATAATTCCGAAATCCATGTTGACTTTTTTTGTCTTAATCACACGTTTGTTGTGTTTGATTTAACAAAAATTACAATACAGACGGGCAGACGATCAAAGTGTATTCGATGAGAAGCACTAATTAGATAGTTTATCAGTAGTCCAACCAATGCGAAATGGTAGATTATAACGTTTTATGATTTTTTAAAAAAAGTATATAATATTTCTTTGCTTTATTTGCTTTATTTAACAACAATGTCTATTTTGTACAAATAACGCAGTGAACAGCTACTGTATTTTTGTACGGTGGACATCTCAAACTGCCACATTTGGTGTTGATTGGATAAAATAGAGCTCCGTTTTCATCTTCATTTTTATTGTCGACAGGCTCGGCATCTTTGTCAACACATACATAGTCCTTGTTGCTGTGAGTCTTATAATCTGACATGATATAACCAGTGTATTCATTTGTCCAGCCATTGTAGCAGGTTTTCCTCCCTAAAATGATAAAATTGCTTTTGATTCAACCCCGTTCCTCTTCTATACCAAATTATTACTTGAATCATTTTGCTACGGACTTTACTTACATTTGCATCACTTTGTTTTATGTCCCATGTAAATCAAGTAAAAGGTATCGAACCCTATCTACTTATAAGCTTAACTTAAGCTTAAGATCCCTTTATGTAAATGCAAACACTTTTTTTCATTTTCTTTACATGTTTACGTCCAGGTACAACATTGATGAGTAGATTCTTTCCAATTGCTTTTGTACCGTATTTCTAGTTGTTGCTATGTTAAGGTTCAGAAAGAGTTGTTGACATGTTCAATCGCGTAATTTCAAATGACAAATAATCCTGAAGGTGCCATTGATTTCCTGTTATATTTTGTTTTCCGTTAAGAAGTTAAATAAGGGGTGCAAAAGTATATCATGTTTGTAAGATTATTTGAAGTTTTCAAAAAATTCCGTCAATCGGGCCTGGAGTAGTTGCAGATAAGAAAGAAAGACGAAAGAACAACCTTACGGACGGACGAACACCCCTATCACTAGATACATATACCACCTGCTTCAAAACTAGGCTGGCATAAAATGTATAGTAATTCGGAAAGAGGATATGATACAAAGGGGACAGTCAAATACCATTAGTCAAATAAAAATCAACAACACCATGGTTACGAGAAAAAGTAAAACTCACAAAAGCAACGTAAACTCTTACATATACCGAGATTAGCCCATGTGTATTTGAAAGGTAGGCAGTTGCTGAAGTGACATCCGTCGTGTTGCTTACTGCAAGTCAAATTCTGGAAATTCAATTAATGATGTCACATTCGATGAAAAGAAAACGAGATTGTGGTTGCGAAGGGCAGATAATCGTGATCATCTATGACACAGGTTTTCCATAACAGTAAACTAAACAATGACGGCGATCGCAAACATTTGAAAGAGCTAATTTAAACTTAACCATTGGGAGCCATTGATTCAGTAGCTATCTTGAAAGGATTAACCCTCTATTAAGAAAATCATGATCGGATACGGAGGCCTTGAGTATCATATCAACTGGGCGATACATACTACACGTGCAGATCCTGTTGGAATTTTTTTTTAATACATATACATTTTTAAGTAATTACTTGTCCAAAAGTTTTGTTCTTTACCGATCCTCATTGTCACTATCTAGATTAACTGTGATTTCATTATCATTCGTTGGATAGTACATTTTGTGGATTTCGTGGACACAGGTGAACAACGAATCTAAATGTTTAACGACGAACAAATTTGTGTATAGACTTAAATGCAGATTCTTGTAAAACCAAGAAATCAAATATCCACAAATTTTGTTTTCTTAATCCACAGTTCAAGACAAGATGTAAAGAAGACTTGAAAATCTTATAAATAAGTTAATATTAAACTATAATTATCAATTATTCATCAACTGTAAAATATATTTCTACCTGGTATCATAAGAATAGTTGATTTTTTTCTTTGGTAGCAAACAGCACATGACACCTCTTTTTGGCGCATATCACTTTTCATTCCTGATGGTTTGTTTGATGATTCAATCTCATATTCGGCACCAAATAACTGGTCATTACCATCTGAGATTGGCTGCCCGTTTTCTGGATCATTTGGTAAGCATAAATAGTTGACACCTCCTCCTTTGTTTGTATACTGGTTACCACCAGCTTGTCCTGGAATACAAAAATATATGTTGATGTACTTCGTTGTATTTACGTGTAGTGCTTTTTTTTTTGTTTTTTGACGTTCAAAATAACGTAAAAATCAAATAAAGCTATACAGACGCTAAATGAGAAATATTTCTGAAATGAACAACAAAGGGTAGTTTGAAGTTATTTTCGGTTTTTCTCGAACACTTGTTAATACTTTCATGATCAATAATTATTGTATCTGTCATTTTCAGCTGAATTAGAGAAATGTATAGTTGCGATCAGTTCTAACCTATCTTAATCTCTCATCGGAACTTACAGGAGAAGTGATTAGAACCGCCTTTAATACAGTACCCATGTAAACATTTAAATAGTTTCTGACAGACACTGTCTATCCTAGAACAGCTTTGGACAGTTCAATCCTAGACAGGATTCTGACAGTTCTAACTTATACATGATTCTGAAATCAGATCTTGTACTAGGAAAGATTATTCAGACAGTTCTGAAGACAGAGTAGAACTGACCCCAACTGTATAATGTACTAAGTGAATGTTTAGAAATATACATTAACATTAAATATTATACATCAAGATAACACTTTTCACTGGATTGCGTACTTTTTAACAAATAGTTATGATTTATTGCTGATACTATAGGATAAATATAAAATAAACAACGATTTTTAGATTTTATGTATTCTAATCTGACGTTTTTCTAAAAAAAAAAAACATGACCTCTGAAAAAAATTTCGTTATCACAATATATATAATGTGCTTCACACTTCCACTGGGTCTGTACCGCTTATGGACTATCGAATATTTGTATTTCGATACTATTAAGATATAAGAGATACATTTTCATTGAAAATTCCGTAGTCAGAATGTGCCTGAGACTATTATACTAACGTCAACATATTATGTCCCAGTTTGTACTAAAGGTCGGAACTGCGTCTTGCAAAGTTTGCCTTTTACGATTTTGACCCTCCTCTATAAACGTTTTTTTTTTTGCTAAATAAAGTGTTTTATTTTAACATTTTAACCGAAATCCTGGTTCATTTAATTTAGTATAAATGCCTTATTTTCATTGGTTATATAATGAAAAACAATGTGGTTCGAAAAATGTTTCTATATTTAGAGTAAAGTATAAAATCCATTTAAAAAAGGATAACACGAAAAAGTAATCAATTTTCCAAATGTGACCCACGGTCGAAATCACGAAAATTACTGATTTTTATCTAACATGGTACATGTACATCAAAGTTACAACGACTGATTCATTTGTCTTTAGTCCCTAAAGATTTTAAATATTTAAGGCTCAAGAATTTACAGACAGTCTTGTGTCGGCTCAACTTTAAATTTCTATGAAAAAGAAATAGTGTAATAAAAGAAAAATGTAACGTATTGTTGCTATAGCTGTTCATTACAAAACGCAACTTCTAAATTGAATATTCTAGGAAGCATGTGAAGAATGAATGCACAAATGATTGTTTCGCAATGGGGCATAGCCAGTGAAAACTATTCAAATGACATGACAGAGAAATTCTCTAAACAAAAAGAAACTACATGCTCATTTTCAGATACAGCCATTTTCTTTCGATTACCTGTATATACCATTTCTACTCCTTTTGGACATCCTTTCTTTCCCCAGCGTACATATGTCACACCTAGATGAATGAACAATAACACAACGTTTTTTGTTTCGTATTTTGAATTTGAAAATACATAAACAGTTCAAATTATACGTCCGTAGGTGGCCTATTGGAAGCCAAAATGTCTTCACTTATTTAAAATGCCCTAATTACAGTTGCCGGACAAATTTTCCGGTTACGTATTTTAACAGAGTCTCTATCAATTTGTTCTCACCTTGGATATATATGATTGCAATCTATGCAACTGGACGATAAACAAACAACAATCAATCAATCAAACAATTATTATGAATATCAAATTATATAATGATAACATTTGTTTATTTAAAATTTGAAATGATTAACAAATAAATCCAGCAATATAATTGTATTAAAAGCATGAGAACAATTCTGTACGTATAGTTTTCAAATTTTCAACTTCCCATTTATCAGGAATACTCTATAAAATAGTTAGCGCTTTTTATCTTCGTTATACACGTACGAAATGTCTTAGGTAGCGTTTCTTACACAAAAAATCCTTCACCACGATTTGTGGAAGAACAACTGAAATCGACACTGTACAAGTTTCACGTTCACCATTACAAATAATTTGAGCAAAACACAATGTCTGTATCTCACCTCATGAGAAACATGTTTTCCAGATCTTCTATCTTTAAATATTAGAATAGTTTTAAATTTCCCGATGTCCTTTTCCCTATTGTGACATAATACCTAGTTTGGAATCGGACGACGGGTGATGCATATCAGGAGTTGCTTACCCTGTCCACGCACCGGATGTCTCTGTTTGGATTTTTTCGTATCTTGATTTTTATATTAAAACGGATGAAGAAGTTTTGAGGATTGTAATGCTACAGTTGCCTCTTGCCTAATACTTTAATCGTTTATTTTTTAAATTGATTTCCCCTTTTTCTTTTCCATGCTTCCAAAAATATTGTCTCGATGTCCCTCAAATTTGGTACATGTAGCGTGTCATACATTTAAAAAAACACATTTTAAAAGAATAAAGTATAAGAGCATACTCGTGACTTTTCCATGACATTCATAATTCTGAACAGGTCTGGTGAATCAGCTTCTTCATCTTTAAGCTTAATTTAATTTGTTAATTTGTTGCACTGCTGTTCATAGTAGTATTTGTATTTTGTGTGTACACTTTCGTGCATGTTTAAAAAAATGTTTGTCTTCTAAAACATTTTTGGCCGTGGTGTTTTCTGTATTTTTTATAGTTTTAGTTTTGATAACTTTCCAAGTATTCTCTTACTTGTGTCAGTATGTACTGCTTCACAATTTTCGAAACATAAGAAAAAAAGTATCAACAAATACTTTTGATACTGTTGAGTTAATGATGCACTTTAAGGTTTAAGAAGTTTAAAGTTCATACCTGAGCCGGCTGGTTTTCCTGTTGAAAGGCCTTCCCCATTTCTAGAGGTATGGAGGTAATGTTTCATCAGAAAAGACTGCTCAGATGCCGATAGGTCATAATCTTTACAATCATGACATTGGACAAGCACCATGCTTGTTGCTATAACAACTGCCAAATTTGACAAGAACATGTTTGTTTCTACAACAAATAAAAAATGAGAAACATTAGAATTTCTCAAAATATATCCATATAGTCAACACTATAGAAAATATCTTTACGACTCAACGGTTGACGAGAGAAGCAATTTACCTTGATGAGTGCATATTGGGATATTTTGGGACTTTATATTTGGATATTTATTCAGTGCAACTTAGTTTCTTCTGACTAATAATAGATTAAGCTACGTTTCCCCTTAGCTGTATTTGGGAAAACCTTTTATTAGCTAGGTCCTTCAATTTCACTTTTAATTTGACCATATAATGTTTTTGATTCGGGTGTCACTGATAAGTCGTATGTAGACGACACGCGCATATTTCGTTGAAAGTTATCAATCTGGTATCTTAAATGACGTTTTTTACTCTATATATAATTATGGATTACAAGAAAAAGATTATTTATATTGTGTCTGTTAATTCTGTTTCATGCGTACTTTGTGCGATCCTCTGAAATATCTTTACTCGTACAGAAAATTTATTTAAAAATATCAATTCTTTGTTTTATTTGTTTTTGTAGTACTTCAAATTGTTCTTAATACGCATTACCATTTTATAGCATCAAAACTTTACGTTTCCTAATATTTATCAACGAAAGTCCTGGTATGTTATTGGCGAATTAATCTGACATAATTCTTTAAGAAAATAAAAGCCAGACATTTATAAAACATATTCAGATAAGGCATAGTCATAAAAAGTCTAAGAAAATAATCTTAGGAAATATAAGTATTACACTTAGTTATCTTTAATTGAAAAACAGATCTTTCTGTTTTAAAGAATTGTTCATATCATCTAATATATTTATTTAGGAAATAAACTGTATTATTTCTTGAAGTAAAAAGAACGTCCTAAAAATCATACATGTAAACAAAAAAACAAGTGCTATACTTGTTTGACTAGTAAGTAAAAAACACAAAATATATATATTCATAATATATATAACTCTGTGTTAACAAGTAAAAATATCAAACAATATATTCTATGAAGACACGAGTTGTTTTTGGTTGGACTTCAGGATTGCGTTTATAAATGTTGATTCAAAGTTGCTCGAATCTAAATTAGAATCATCGTTTCATTATTACATTATAGTTATACATGCAGCAACAAATTTTTAAAAGAATGTTATCAAATTATTATATTTCATAGAATGTTCATTTCTGTGCTTCAAATACCGTTCATGTACGGTCTTTGTTCAGAAAATGTTAAACTTCTTTGCTCTGACTCATATATGTATGCACTTTTGAACTTTCTACTATTTACATTTTGTTGGTTGAATGTTGTTAGTTAGAATTCAAATGGCAATTATTGAAAGAATTTTCATGTAAAAAGGAACCAAATTCAACATTTAATAAGTAGATAATGCAATGCATGTCGCCCAGAATGAAGGTCGGGTTAGGACTGGAAATAGGGGAATGTTGTGTATGTGCAGGAAATTGATGAGTTCTTTGACGTGAAAAGAGCGTGACAGTCTCTCAACAACAGACACCATAGGTAAAGCCCCATTTCCAACCCGGTGTGAAAGCATATCAATACATCGTGCAATACTGTCAGAAAAGTCCGGATTATATTTATATTAAACCCAAGTAATTCTTTTTAGGTTTATGTTATATCGTATTATAATTTCGGAGTTTGAAAAAGAAAAAAACATAAAACGTTTGTTGGAAAATGCATTCACTTACTAGATAAAAGGAAGAATAAAAAGTTAACCTCAATCAGTATAATAGTACGTCGGATTTTGCTATTCAAAATATTAAGTGATATAAAAAGGAAAGCTATTACGTTGCACATTGTAAAAATGATAAATATGAATGTTCATGTTTGTCAAAGAGAAAAACAACATCGATGAATATCACAAAAGATCTTACGAAAATTGATATTCGCAAGACGCGAAAATATCAGTATAACTTGCAACCAATTTTAGTCGTAAGATGATTTTGTGAAACGAGCCTAGAGTGGTCGTACCTTTATACAAATGGAAAATCAAATATTCAATGGCTAAAAGAAACTAAATACATTACGTGATGAACTTAATTCTAATCGTTAGAACAATTCAAAGAAGGAAAACATAGTCAAAATTTATGTAAGACAACAGTTTTGCTTCGTTCTTTTCCATATAAAATGCTTCAAAAAATCAATAAAGATCCAGACTTATCTGTTACCTTCTTGTGTTGTCACAATTACAAGTCACTGGGAACTCAGTATATAGACTTTTTCTTGAATTTGTCATTTATAGCACAGCAATACTTGTACATCTGTTGTTAAAGTAGATGAGACAATTGCATGTATAATGTATTGATTGAGTATATGTTTACATGTACATGTACATGCATTCTAAAGGTTAAAAAACGAAATAAGTTTTTCTTTTGCTGATTTCGTTCCTTGTTTATATAGAACAGCAGCTATACTGAAAAGTTCGTTTATTCCCAACCAACAGTATAAGGTGATAGATGATAAGGTATCTTCTAATAACTGTTATATTAAGGATTTTACTATAAACAGTTGGTACCACCAATCATGGATTGAACTTTTTTTTTCTATAAAAGCAAAACACGCTTAAAACTTTTAAAGCATTACATAGAATTCATAAGAGCATGCGCAGAACAGATTAACCGTCTTAAGATAACTTTACTTGTGGTTGTTGCAACATTTCTTTGTTGTACAAGCTACAGCTACTAACACTTTGAGTCAGAACCAAAATTTGGCCAAAATTCCCAAAACTATAAAATTTGGCAAAACTAAAAACAAACTTAAATTTCAGCAAATCTAAAATGTACCGGATCATATAGAATATCTTCGTATATTAACATCTCATATTAGTACCGTTGCGCAAATCTTTAGACTTATAAATACATATATATATTATGGTGTTGGCCCTGTATAACCACGTGTTATCCGATGAAGAATGTCTGTCATAAAGTTGTCACATGTTTAGACGTGTATAATAAAATTAAAATTTGATGTGGCGGCAAGGTAATTAATATTATCATCCTTTACGATAGACAAAATAGCTGATCTGAAAGATACACCATTTACTTGCCACTATAGATCATGATGATGATGGAAATGTTTAACGACCTTGACTGGCTTTACAACCCTCGCATGGTCGGCTCAGTGCCCGAAGGCGTGTGGTGAGCGCTTAAATATTTTCATGCGTGACGATGGAAAGTTGGCAAGGTGGGCCGCCATTTTGGTTTCGGTAAGATCTTTTTGGTTTTTTGACTATTTTGTTGTTTACTGCCTTCACAAATACATCATGTACTGTGTTACAATTCTAGATAAAGCCGACGAGGAAAGGCATAACATAAACCACCGAAAGATATATTTTTATGTAGCCTAGGTGGTCGAGTGGTCTAGGGCGCTGGACACGGTGCAGGCAGTGTTGCAACGATGTCACAGTAGCAAGGGTTCGAATTTTTAAATTCCACCGAAAACATTCCACAGAAAGATAAAAGATTGAACTTTTTAAAGTATTGTATTGCATCTCTACACATGGCAACAACAAAACAATGTTTTTCGAACTTTCGAAAATTCACCCTGACAACCAATAAGACAATTATAGCTTAAAGTTGACAAAAGGCATAACAGTACATGTATTTGATGTTTAATAGCTGGTAGATCATTTTGTCTTTTAAAATTCAACTGTCATGTTAGGATCGTATTAATGTAATGTATAAATTCATCGGTTTTCAAGAACTTAGTTGACAGCGAGTCATCCCTATAATGACTTTAATTTTCACGAATGAAAAAAAGGTGTCGTAATATTAATGGGGAGAGGATTTTGACCAAGTAGAATCCTGGCTTATGTGGAGGTCAACATACTGTCTACAGCTAATTCAAACAAGTGTCAAAACCATTGACAAGATCCCTGACTTTGGACTGACATAACATGTGGTGGCATTAAACTATAATTTAAAAGACAACAACAAATAACAGCTATGTGGGAACTCCATTACTGTCGAAATGTAGGAGCATACAAATATTGCATGGAAATACATTCTACTGTAGACATACACCACTTGCATACAACTCCATAATGAATATAAATCAATATTATGTCTGTGTTGAAGGGTGTGCCTTTTCATTAAAGTTTACCTTATATCTTCTTTTATTTATTGATTACCTTTACTATTTATGGCACACATGAAAAAAGAAGAAGACAATTTATTTGATAGTGATATATCAAAATTTGTACCAAAGTTTTGTAATTGAATACCTTTACTTTTTATATGGCACACATGAAAAAAGCAAGGACAATTTGTTTAACAGTTATATATCCACATTTGTACCAAAGTTTTGAATTTATTTTACGAGTTTGGAATTAATTTGTTGTTTACTCATTTTCACACATAACGCATTTGAATTTCAATCATTTACATCAGCATTATATATGTCGAAACATTTTAAGTTCGTTTCACATCTTTTGTCTGTACTGACCATCACACAGATTTCACACAAAAACTATGGAAATAAAAATTATATGATATCTGTAACTTGTAGGTAATCAGATGCTAAAGATATTGAACATATTGGAAATAGTCTATTTACAATAACACATAACTGTGATTTGTATTTTTATCCATCTGATGAGTTAAGCCTCTTTCAACTGATTTTTATAGTTCGTTCTTTTGTTGTACTGTTACAGCACTGTCCCAGGTTAGGGGGGGGGGCGTTGGGGAGCGTTGGGATAATTCGTATGTAAAATTGTCTGTCTAATGAACACAAGTGCAACTAGGTCTTTCAATAATTAATTTTAACACAGTACTCGGAGTATACACTTTGTGCTTAACACACCAAGTTTAGACATTTATTTCGCTTATTTCTGAATCTGAGTACGATAATCGTACTCAAAAGTTGTATGATCTTATCCCTGAAACAAAAGGATTCAAAATATTGTGATAACGAGCAGACGAGAATGAAATAAATGTCAATATAAACAATTATGATCACGTTTTAGGAAGTATGACAGGATTATTAAATTTGACCTTATCCAAGTCCATGTAGAAACTAACTTGTAAATTTAGCCATTTTTGAAATTGCCTATTGAATATTTCAATAACAATTTAAATGTAATAATGTTAATGTCGATCATATATGGTAATTACTCAATATTACATGTGAGCATTATGAAAAAAGTGTTTGTTTTAACACAGAGTTGATAAAGTGGTTATAAATAACTATATCTATCCGGAGTGCATTATGTGCTACATGGTACAATGGATATTAATTCAATTATTATGTAACTATTTGTGCCAATCTAACTCTTATGATGTATATAGGCTTCCTGAACGACATTGTAAGTATAGCGACATTTAAGCTTTTTGTTAACTTAATTGTTATTATAGGCCTTCATGTTTAATTTCTAGATTGCCTACATCTACAAAAAAAAAAAAACAAACAACTGCAGAGTATATAAGACGTTGAAAGAACCTATGACTCCGCATTATTATCAGACACGAACGAATTGTATGTAGGAATTTATGCCGGATACAAAACATTCAATGACCACGAGACTAAAGTAGTATAAAAGAAATTACGGCAATCTCAACCATACAAATAATTTCCACACAACCGCTGATATGAGCAGTTTCTGTCACCTGACAATATTTCGCCATGTGTTTGCGTCTTGAACCACAGCTATGACTATGTGTTATCGATGACAGAACTAGACAATAGGACGAAATGATGAAACCACAGTTTATTAATCAACATCGGTTTAAGAAACTACCCAGTTTGGATGGTTGTTAAATATTGAAAGCAAGCGAAAAGAACTATTCACTAAATAATTGTATAGCATAGCCGTACTGGTTAATACTGAGTTTAAATCAAGAAAAAGTGGACGTACACGGTAATTAATGGAAGGCAAAGTTGACAGCATTTCCAAATTAGTAGTTAGAATAATCTAACAATTGGTCTCCTCAATACATGCACGTTATACCTATATGGTGTAAGTCATCTGGCTCACTATCGACAAGAGTATTTTATAAACTTGCGATATTTTTTATGATTTATCTGTAAATATGAATGAGCAGATTGTTTTTTTTTCGCTTTGGAGCATTGACACACTTCAATATAAAAATAAGGAGATGTAGTGTGATCGCCAATGAGACAACTATCCACCAAAGTTCAAATGAAGTGGATGTAAGCAATTACAGGCAACCGTACGGTCTTCAACATTGAGAAAAACCCATACCGTATAGTCAGCTATAAAAGGCCCCGACATGAAAAATATGAAAACATTCAATTGAAAAAAACTAACGGCCTAATTTATAACAAAACAATTTACGAAAAACAAATATGACAGATATGAATCGACGACAACCACTGAACTACGGGCTCCTGACTTTGGAAAGGCACACAAAGAATGTGGCGACGTTAAACATGTTTGTGAGCGCTCAACCCTCCCCTAATCTGGGAAAGTGGTGCAACAGCACAACATAAGAACAATCTATACAAATCAGTGGAAAAAGGCTTAATTCATCAGATCGATACAAAGAAAAACACAGATAGTACGTGGTAGGGTATATATCCATCCCTCATCCCCAACAAAAAAAAAAAAAAACCACTAAGTACAGATCTAAGATTACTCACAGTTACTGATAGCTAGTTCAAAGCCAATAACAACTAATAACAAAAATCAAGGTGGTATACAACGGTGTTTTAATTTAGATGACACAAATGTAACGGGATTAGAGTTCATATGGCCTTCTATGAGTAATTTTGGAATAGGAGAAAATAATAAAGTCGTCCTTAGATGTAAAGTACGCAGTGATGCAGAACCTAATTTCGAGGTATGTATTTTTAATAATTCGTTTGAAAATACAAGAATCACCTGACAACAAACCCAATTAGATAAGAAAGTACTAGAACAGCATCATTTGATCCGATGGAAAGTAAGGTAAACAATATTCGAATAGAAAATAAATTGTAACAACCTTTAGATACTTGATACATTTTAACAATACTATAAATTAATGTGAACGCATGTAAATCACTTGGACAAGGTCATATTGGATCAGCTACAATTATAGTTCCACTATAGATTTAGCTCACACCATGGTTAAATATGCCTCTACAAACCTCGTAAATCATAGGTCTACATAGAACTTTGATAGGCGAAGACTTATTCTTATGACTTCTTTGAAAGTCCCTCATGTGCATAGACGATCGACATTACTAGTATTTAACATGTTTAATAATTACATGTACCTGATTTCTTATATACAGTATAATATAAAAACAAAGCATATATCCATCCACGACACAAAATCAGTACATGCACAGCAAAAAACACACAAAAAGCAAAGGAACTGCGTTTTTATTGCTGTTCTTCGTCTCAATGTCACAGTCAGGCCTTCTACACGGAGCAAAAACAAAACCAAAAAACAAAAAAAAACTCTCACTTCACTGCAAGTTTGAGACGGGCCCTAACACCGGTTTGAACGGAATTCTTTGCAATTCTTTTCAAAATGATTCGAATAGACTTTGTACGATGTAACACCACAAGATAGGGCCCGATAAAAAAAGAACATACTGGTAAGAAGTACATATATAAAACAAAATAGTTCCTATGCATAGGTGTACATATCAAACTATGTAGAATATTATTTAGTAATTAAGGTATCAAGTGAAAGGTGAAGGACTGGTGATCCTGGTAGAACACATTTTGACTGATAATTTTGGATAATGCAAAAATGTATGAATGAATTATAAAATTAAGGGCATATATTGCCTGTTTCTCAGATATGAAGTAACTGGTTTGGTGTACCCAAAGAACCGGTAACCAGTGAGGTCGGGTGTATAAATAATGGTACATTGATCCCGCCCCCATAATATATTTGGAATTGAAAAATTGAAGTATAGTTTTAATTGTTGTCCGTGAGTTAGCAATAACACCTTCCCCGATCATTAAAAGATATTTATGTATTTTTTATGTGTTGATGTAAAGGTATTGTAAAAGCCTGACTTCTAAAAATCAAATAAAAAAGAAGATATTTTTATAAATTATTCAATATATATACATTTTGTAACATAATCGATATACATGTAACAGTAAATCGGAATGTATTAATATAATATTATTATAGTCAGCAAACCAATCTAAAATAAAATGTTGAAAGGTTGAGATATACGTTGGGTATTCTTTGACTGGCAAAACAGTGTTGAGATGACATGGTACATGTGGTATGAGTTGAGAGATTGTTTGACTTGCAATGAAGTGTTGAGAGGATGTGGTATGCGTTGAGAGATTATTTGAATGGCATAACATGATAAGATGCAGTACGCGTTGCGTTGAGAGATTAGTTGACTGGCAATGAAGTGTTGAGAGGGTGTGGTATGCGTTGAGCGATTATTTGGCTGGTAATACATTGTTGAGAGGATTTGGTATGCATTTATTGTTTGTTAAACTGGCAATGAAGTTTTAAGAGGATGTGGTATACGTTGAGAGATTATCTGACTGGCATAACATGATAAGAATGTGGTATGCGTTGAGAGATTATTTGACTGGCAATGAAGTGTTAAGAGGATGTGGTATGCGTTGAGAGATTATTTGAATGGCATAACATGATAAGATGCAGTACGCGTTGCGTTGAGAGATTAGTTGACTGGCAATGAAGTGTTGAGAGGATGTGGTATGCGTTGAGCGATTATTTGTCTGGTAATACATTTTTGAGAGGATTTGGTATGCATTTATTGTTTGTTAAACTGGCAATGAAGTTTTAAGAGGATGTGGTATGCGTTAAGAGATTGTTTGACTGGCAATGACATGTAAATCTGTTGTTAATCTGTTTAATCTTTATATTGTCGGTGGTAAGTGGGTGAGGATAGATAATTCAACATCTGCACACATCAAAATAAATGGCAATGATGATGGACGGTATTCTATCTACTTCACAAAACGATCAGGACTACGATACGGCAGTAAACTTGTAATACGAAATACGCAAGCATCGGACTCTGGAATTATAAAGTGCCGTGTCAATGTTAGATGGTCCACTGTCATAGAAAGACAATTTAGAGTTCATGTTCAAGGTAAACTTAATAACATAATTAATATAGTGGCTGATCAATGGTATATACAACGAGCACTTTTTAATATCACTAAAAGTGCAATGTATTTTTTCAATCGATCAAAACGGATAAATCATAGATATCTATTCATAAAAAGGAGGTGATATACCCGCCATTGGACTTGTAATTGTAGCGTTGTGTAGTCTTATCACAATCATATATATTGTGTTAATTGTTCCAATAACAATTCTCAAATTTGCAAAATCAAAAAGTATTATGGCTCATCAACAAAAACAAATCAAGCATTTTAATATCATATGCAATGAAATAATGAATAAACTGAAGGAAATGTAAAAATCCTGGAAGAGTAAATAAGACAGTGAATCACGCTTATAAAAAAAGAAAATTGTAAATGCTTACAAAATGAACATTACTTCTACTCTTAAAAATTGAAAGTAAAAAACATAGGTTTTCTTTATCACTGATTCGTAGACTACATGTAGTAACAAATCTACTTATCAAAGCAGGCAGTCAGTGTCTACTTTACTCAGCTCTTGTGTATCATGAGACACATTTCGTTCAATTGCCACTTAAAAGGAGAAAGAGCTTGTATCATTTGGTGTTTACTTCACGTTTCGCATTATAGACGTAGAGGATTTTTCTGGCTGAATGATTCTAAGTGTATGGACTACGAACACCGAATCAATTCAATTGAGCTATAGATAACGAAAACATGTATAACATATACAGTTAGGTAGGCTTCATATTATATTAACTTGCATGTGACAGTTATCAATTTTGGCATGATGGTCTAATCAAAGGTAGTTTTGCCAAAAAAAAAAAAAAAAACTACAACTATTGTTTTGTGGTTTTTGCTAATTTAAAACAATGACAACATTTCGACAACATTCGCAAATTGAATAAATAGTTGTTACTATATTTTTGGCTCCCATTGCCGTTTAGGATTCACTTTTTCGGGAAACTGCTTACATACAAGCTATTACATAACGAGTTTTTAGATTAAAGTCATGATTATTAAAGGCGAATGAACATGGTCATGACTTGGCTGACCATGGCCACAATGAATATCTGTGTTACATTGGACCAAGGTAATCGTCACAAAAGGCTTCAAGCAGTATTACTAATCAATTTATGAAACTAACATCTTCCTGGATAGCGTCTATGTGGAAAAATAAAATTGAGAATGGAAATGGGGAATATGTCAAAGAGACAACAACCCGACTAAAGAGCAAATAATAGCCGAAGGCCACCAATGGGTCATCTATGCAGCGAGAAAATCTCGCACCCGGATAGTTGGAAATGGTTCAACAGTATATTTCTGTGTATTTTTTCATGTTTGTGGTGACGTAATATTTTTCATTTCGTCCATGTTCTTTTGTCAATAGTTTTGTCTGTTTACTATGTCACTTATTTTTCATTTGTCTGTAGTCTCCCTTTTCTTCCTTTGTAAGAAACATCTTCTAATAGTTTCCTCAATCGAAAATCTACATGCTTACATGATAAGAGAAAACAAATGGATTCCTAATCGAAGGAAAATATTTATAGGGTTTATATATGTGAACATATTTCAGTTCTTTTTCATAAAGTCAATTACCACGAATGTACGCAAAATAAACAAAACAGACATGCTCCAACCATTATCTTCGGAAAATGCCCGTATCAAGTCAAGAATATGACAGTTGTTTTCACTCGATCCGTTGTTAACGTTTGATTTTGTTCGTTTTTATCGACTTCCACTTTTTGAATTTACCTTGGAGTTCGGTATTGTCGTCATATTTTTTTTTCATAATTGTGTCGACTCGCATACCATGACAGCAAAAATTGTGAAAGGAGAATCGAGTACTAGCATAAGTAGTCCCGATGTGAACATGAATTCATTTTTTCTGGTTTCAGATATTCATAATTTGTCCATCGTAATTCTTTTCAGGCCTTGATCATTAAACGTTTGTTGGGGACTTGTTTTTTTCCAATTTTTTTATTAGAATTTCTCCCAAGATAAGATTCTTTCCATTGAATAAAGACAAAAAAACATAAATTAATTAAGATTTTTAATGAATTGTATTTTTCAAATCACGAAATTTTATAATTCCAAGAATAAACCGATACCGATCGCTAAAGATGGATAGGTAATGCCTTAATAGAGAATTCTAGTGATCACACATACTTAGTGTCATTTGGTCTATTGTGGAGAGTTGTCTCATTGGCAATCATAACACTTCTTCTTTTTATATTTAATGATACTTTTTTAGGGGTTCGTGTTGTTTAGTGTTTAGTTTTCTATGTTGTGTTTTGTGTTGATTGTTTGTCTGTTTGTCCTTTTTCTTTTTTAGCCATGGCGTTGTCAGTTTATTTTCGATTTCTGAGTTTGAATGTTCCTCTGGTATCTTTCGCCCTTCTTTTGTTATACTGTACATTCATTTATTTTCGTTGGTACAAATTTTCGTGGATTAAGGAAATCTTACATGTTCGTGGGTATTTAATTTCGTGGTTAGCCGGAGTAGGCTTACAAGGCTTTAGAACATTTGTTATTAGTTGAACATTTAATTTCGTATCTCACCTGTACCAACGAAATCCACGAAAATTGGTATCCAACGTATTATAGTAAATCCACATTATTTGTGATTCTAATTTATTTAAAATTAATCGATTTTGCCGATTACTAGCCAGATTTCTACAGTGACTGAATTACAGCCTCAAGTCACTCTGCCGGTCAAACGTTCAAAATTTAATTTCTTTTGAGTAATAATGCATATTGTGATTTCGCTTGTCTGATTTTCCCAATTAGATCAGTTTCACCTTTAAAAACAGGTAAAACAGTAGATCAATTTGTATATGTACCCAACACAGCCCGTTGCAACACATATATAGATATAGATTCTACCACTGCATCGAGTGTGATACGATATTTATCCACTCGAGACAGTTAAAATTTCAAATTTAAAACGCGAGGCTCGCCGAGCGTTTTAAATATTTAAAATTTAACTGTTGAGAGTGGATAAATATCGTATTACACGAGATTTGGTGGTGGAATCTGTTTCTCTAATGATTTTCTAACAATATGCTGGCAAAGTTATTCCTTCTTTTCGAATGATCTGCAAAAAAATGTGTTCTTTCTATGTGACGTCATCAGACATGATTACCTTTTTTCATGCCGTCACAATAGGAAAGCAAGAAAATTCGACGTCATAATCGGATTTTAACCAATGATGAACTGAGATCAAACGAACCACACTTTGATTAAATTTTTTTTATACAATGGGTGCAGAAAGGTATAAATAGACGAAAAATTAGAGAAAGATGCCTATCCAGGACAACCACTAACATGTGACTCAATATCAGTCATATCTATTTCAGAATATCTATTGACTCCGATTAGACTAGAGTCGTATACACAGGAAGGTGAAGGAATCGTTCAAATTCGCCATAAGAACAAATGGACTTATTTTTATTACTATGATTTCAGTACAGTTAAGGCATCTATGGCGTGTCGGTCTCTTGGATATCCGTATGTATACAATTATTACAATCTATATCCCTAATGTCTTCATTCAATATCCTGTTCATTTATATAGATGATTTCCTCTCAATAAAAAAAAAAAAAACAGTTTGGTGACTGTGATTAACTGGGAATAAAAAATACCACAGATACAATTAGGAATGTCTATGATCTTGATTTACATCTAGACATTGACAAAGGGGGTTGGTCGAAAACATTACTTAACAACAGAGGAGATGGTTTTAGCTTTTAAACTTTTTGTTTCTATTGAGCAACATCCCAGCAATATCTGCATATTGAGTTTTTACCTCCCAGTTTATTCGATTTTCCAGAGCTTCAACTTGCTATAATGACATCCATGATAGAGTGTTGCTTCTCATAGAAAAGCGTTTAAACCAGTAGCTCCAAGTGATAAAGTTGAAATCCCGCGGTTATGGTAATGCCGTTTTACGGTAAAGTGGCCTATTTATCTATTTAAAAAATATAGGAATTTGAAATAAGGGTTCATTTTTCTATCGAAGCTTTCACATGCAGGACTTATTTGACCTTATGTTTATATCATACACAATTACAATTTCTGTTGCATCCGCACCATCCATCTGGTTACCACGGTTAAGGGCGTCATTCAAAAATGAAGGTAAGACATTCAACTTTGAAAGTCTGGCATACCTCTAAGAACTACACTTTTTAAAAAAGTAAAGTTGTTGTCGATATATATAAATGTATCCTTTCCTGTGGGGTTCGTGTACTGTTGTTTTTCATAGCATTGTCAGTTTGTTTTCGACTGATGAGTGAATATCTCTTCAATATCCTTCGACTCTCTTTTCTGAATTACTTTTTTTTATGATCTCAAAGTTTCGTGAATGAAATATACGTTATTCTGATGACGTGTTACGTAAACTTATAAAAAAGAGATTAAAGAAGTAAAATTTGTTATACTGAAAATAAGTGGTGTAGATTCCACTAAATCAGTGAGACATCCGAGTCACTATAATATGTTTTTGATAAAAAAAAAAATGAGAGAAAGAAATTGCAAGTGCAACTTGTAGTCTGTAGTACATGATTCAAAGTTTTCTAAACATTTGCCATCTCTGCCCCTTATTCAAATTTGTTCATTTTTTTCGAATACATTTGTTTAATAAAAAAAAGGTGCCCGATCTCTTTATTTTTCTAAACGTGTGACGTTTCAAGATCAAACTTGACGTCGAATAAATAATCTAGCCAATGCGATTACGCTTCTGATGATTTTAATGTAACGATAAAAACAGAGAATCATTCTAACTGCGATGCCTACGAAAGTTTTACAGTCATAATCACGAATAGGTAAACTGTAATGAAATATCTGTGTCACAGATAACCATGGCCATGTTCCAATGGTTGTAACCACAATCCGGTCCTCTTTCCCTCTAATGCGGCATTACAGAATGACTTATAAACGAATTATGATCAACACTGCGGTGCCACTTGTTGAGCAGGATTTTCTTACTCTTCATTGAGAGCCTGAGATCATCCCATTTTCTTGTGTTTTTTTTTAAGGGGGCATGGGGTTGGTGGGAGTTTGTGTTTCTCAGTCTTTAGTTTTGTAAGTAGTTTTTTGTATACACTCCTGTTAGCTTTTTCATATTTTTTCGTTTTTCTGCCACGGTACTTCCAGTTTCCTCATAACTTATCAGTGTGTATGTACTTTAAGTATTTTCCTTTTTATTTCAAAGAAGTTCAAAATAGAAATTTATTTTTCTATGAGTATCTACAAAGTAGTTATTTGTGGGACCCTTGAATGTGAATATACTCATATTGTAGATTTAGTCATAACTTATCAGTGTGTATGTACTTAAGTATTTTCCTTTTTATTTCAAAGAAGTTCAAAATAGAAATTTATTTTTCTATGAGTATCTACAAAGTAGTTATTTGTTGGACCCTTGCATGTGAATATACTCATATTGTAGATTTAGTTACATTTTGGTTTTAATGTATTAAATCTATATTAAGTAGAAAATGCTATGATAGATACACATTTTATCTTTTTATTTATTAAATGTAAATTTACATGGCTGGTGGTGCAAGCAAAACAGGAGACGTTTACCATGTCGACGTATACAGTCTTGCTCCCTTTTCTCTATATTTCTATTCGTTACTTTGTTTTTTCTCTTCTTATTCGATTGGATATCGGTAAGCTAATGAAGCGTTAATACAACAAGGACCCAGTAGCCAGCTAGGGCTAACAAAATGAAATTATCAGACATATATGCTACTTTTGTGCTTCCTTTTTAGTGAAATGTATGTGTGAACATTTATACGCACGGATAAGCTGTGATGTTAGATATATTCCTTGCAATAGATTTTTCCTTATTATACTCAGCGTGAAATGCATGTTTGCTGCATAATATTATATAAAAAGTATAAAAGCTGACACACGTCTTTCTCTTGCAGATATGGAGGTGTACCACGAATAACATATGAAGAGATAGGTATATTTCGTTTAAATTATTGGAGGCACAAGAAAAATAAAAATCCAATGTGTATAGGTGGAATTAGTTGTTTACTAAATGTTACAGATATTGGCCAATGTAAGCTGAAGAAACCATCTAAATGTTTTCTGGCACATGTGGTTGGAGTAACTTGTAGGCTTGAACCTGTGAAAAGTAAGTTACAATATGTTGAGGAGTATCAAAAAGTATGTATTCCAGTCCAAGCAATTGTTTTGTAAATAAACGTAAACTAAAAACACTCAGCTGTAAAAGATTGTAAATTTTTTGGGGAATATTGCACTTTCAAGATTTATTACCAATGTAAACTTATCTAAAAATATATGTTACTTTTATTTCTATTTTTATAATGTTAATCGCATGATAGAATAGGAGTGGAAAATGAAGAAGAATAAAACAAAAAGAGATAAATTAAAAGGAATTATCCAGTTACATCTCTATCTTAAACAGTGTTAAATGCAACATATTAACGATTTCTTTCGTAACAGCTAGTAACCCATGCCAAGAGCATAACATGAAAATAATACATTCTCTAAATTAAATTATTGTTCATATAAAGTTATTAGCATGTATTGAATAACAGGTTTTTAAAATGTTTTTCATATATTGTCAAATTCAGTAATTTTTTTAATTTTTTTTACAGCTATCATAATCTCTAATTTGTACATATCTTTCAGCTTTATTTTAATTGCTTACAGTAAGATATTCTTTTTCAAGCATCTACAATTATACATATCTTGTTTAATATAAAGAAAGATCCTGTTTTATCGGTTGTTGCGGGATATTTTGGATAATTCTTCAAAAAGACAGTTTGATTTAATCATTGGGAGATATATGTTTATCAATATCCTGTAGAAAATATTGTGCAGTATTGCAATTCCAAAAGAGATGTTCTATAGACTCGTTCTCTGTTTTTCAAACTGTACAAAAAGGATCACCAGTTAATTTTATTTTAACTTTATCTATATCTAATTATTTCAGTTCCAGATGTACCCATTCGTTTGATGATACCAGGAAAGGATATCCAGAATTTAAGAGAAGGTGTTGTAGAAGTGTTCCTAAATGACCACTGGGGATTTGTTTTAGGAATCGAACAGTCCGAAGTCAATGTTTTTTGCAAAACACTTGGTTTTGAGTATGTAAACGTAATTTATTTTGCTATGAACAAAATAATATGGTCATCATTTCTTATAACAAGAGCATTTTCTGTACACAATTTTACTACACCACATATCTGCTGATTACCTCACAGAAAGATACGGTTGATAACAAAGGGACAATGCATTATTCGAAGAGAAATTGACAGACATCACAACGGTCAATAAAAAAATCAATCGGATAGGCGAATAAGTCTAGAAAAAAAAGAATCAGCAACACAAACCTCACAGTATTTAAGGTTTTATTGATAATTTGACAAGATGCTTAATTTCCTGAATATTATTCCTCAGATTTCTCAGTTTTAACTCATATATTTTGCTAATCTTCTCGCAACTATGTTACATGTAACCTGATACTGAATTTGTCATTCGTCGCTTAGGCTCGTGTTATAAGGGTTGAACTATACGGCTGCATTGTGCATAAAACACGCTGTTAACATACGTTCTGGAATTGATTCGCAATGGAGCGTCGAATACACAAACAATGTTACATTACGATTTTGTAACTGAATGACGTGATAAAAAATGACAAATGGTCACTTTGCAACATATATATACAAACAGTACATACATCTACAATTAATGTTTTTAAAACATATGTTTTGCTAATCCTTCAATTATTCTTGTTCAAGGTATGGTGGTCAGAGTTATAAAACATTAGATGTTCTTCAAAGTACTCAATTTGGTCGTCTTGACATTACAAACGAAATTTTGCAAAACTTTTCATGTCCCGAAAACGCATCGCATTTAAATGAGTGTAGTGATATGGAGTGGACAGAACGTTCGTCGTTTGGATGGGATAGGTGGAACATTTTGTCTATAAGATGTTGGACATATGCAGAAATTAGTAAGTGGAAAACAAACTTGCAAAACAGTTAACAACGAACATAAATAGTTGAAAGGAAAAGGGTTGTATACATCTAAGAAACGCCAATATAAGTTAAACAAATGAAAACAACACTTTATACATTCTATACGGTTTACAATTTAAAACATAACTATAAGATATCTAGATGGCAACATACCATTTAACAATTATGAGATGTATGTGCAATGTGTCAATCCTTAAACCGTCACGGTCAGAGATCGATCATCATTCAAATACCAATGAAAGTTGTTTATTTTCGTGGAGATGTCCCTACGTATTTTTTGCAGGTCAGCAAGGTAAGGAAGGAACATTTTTTCTTTGATTTAAATCATTGGAATAGTTAAAAGGAATTAGTTCCCTAGCAGAAATTTCACAATATAAACTAACTAATCAACAAAAATCAACAACATTTATGAATAGACGGCTAATAACTGAGTACTTTTGCATTGACAAGGACTAAAACCTGGTCGAATTCTTCTCTTAACAGAAAGCTGAATTCATTGAACATTGTTAAAGTTGTCATTTACCGAAGTAAGATACATAAACACAAAATAGATTTTTAATTAAAATATTTGAAAATTGATAAAAAATAATATGATATATGTATATGAGTATGGATACTTTTGAAATGAGAAAAACATCAGAATTGATATGCATAAAACCACTTCAGTTAAGCTACTGATAGTAGTACTAATTTATCGTAGTATATGTAGAAAAATCCGTCCGTTCAAACAAATCTTAACTTAAGTAGCTTTATGCATAAGGGCTCTGACTTACTATACAGTGTCATTTTAATTAGTCAAATTCATTATTAAAAAAAAAAAGTTTATACAACATGTACAACAAGAACTATAAAAAGATTTGTTCTTTTATAATGTTTTAATGATCTAATTAATTTCAATTATGAGTTAGGACATCGTTTTGGGTCGCCTTATCACTCAAAAAGCAAATCAGAGCACTTATCACTTCATACCTTCTATCATATTCCATTCAAGATGATTCCGGAGTGCAAATACGACTAGCAGGGTTAAACATAGAACACGAAGGACGAGTTGAAATTTTGCATAACAATATTTGGGGAATCATCAATGATCGCTGGTTTGATTACCCGGGAGCAAACGTGTTGTGCAAAATGATCGGGTATCAGTAAGTATTTGTTTAATGGTATACTGGTACTAAATTAAAGCAACTAATTTGAATTTGCATTTTATAAGAATGTTTGGAAGCTATGTGACATTGCTTTTTATTGTGAATACTCTGAACTAGTTCTTTTATATTTGGCAAATTATGAACAAATCCAAGCTTCTGTGAAATAAAAATTGCAAATTCTCTAAAAAATAAATTGTCCGTACTGCTTTTCGCTATTGGTGTTTAGTTTGTCGACCAAATTACTGTGAGTATGCAGTCAGCGGTCTCACAAAAGAGTATATATTGGTTTATACGCAATATTATATCAATAAAGTACTAGAGAAAAAAAAGACAATTATATATTAACGTTGACATCAGATGTATTGTTCTCGTCCGAATGTCAGGAAATCTAAAGCTTGGTGAAAGTGGATGTGCAATACGTAAAATATTGAAACAAGGATATGCACATAAAATTGAAAATAATGGGGAAACAATTTCGTGTGTCTGAAGAGATTTTCTGGATATACCTTCAGCAAGAACGCTCAAAGCCGAATATTTGTACGCCAAGGATGTATGAGAACAACATGTGAACATATATATTGACAATAAGGACACAGAAAATAGCCCAATTGGTTTGAGGTCAATTTTGACTTAGGGAATTCCCACCTTTGTTTCTTTAGTTTCTTAATGTATCGTTTTAAAATCTTCCGAATCTTTCGCCCATTCATTTTTCATTCCATACATTTGTACTCAAAACTGCCAGAAGTTTTGAGTAAACCTAATGAAAAATACCCTTGCACTTTGAACTCAGAGGGATGTAAAGCGGTATAGTGAATGAATATTAATAATTCGATAATTATCATTTGTTCTTATATAAAATTGACATCTGAAGTCATTTGCAAGAAATATATGAAACAAAATACTAAATTAAATTCTGATACTCAGAAAGAAGAAAACCTTAATGTTCTTGATTCTTTATCTATATTATTAAAATGTCCTGAACCTAAGCATGCATTTCCTTGTACCAGGATTTGGGGTGTTGAAAGCGATTTATGATTTGATTTTGCTCCTTATTGGTTTAATTTTGAAAAATTTAGATATAAGCAACAGCAGTTTTCAGACGTTCAAATCCCATCAATTTAAAAAACCAAAATGCAATCCAAGAAAATACACATGACACAGACGTAATTGTATGAGCTCAAAAAAAAAAAAAAAAAAAGCGAAACTAGTTGCGTCTTCAGTGTGACCACACATTTAGTCAAAACATGGGATACCACATAATTGGTTACAATACAGATCAGACATTTTTTCCGTTAAAAAAAAAATAATAACCGGCTGCGAAACAAATGTCGACAATGAAAGACACAGAAAGACATCGTATTGATCAAACAATTTAAGTTGATTTTGTTCGTTATTCCTCATATCTTTCATGGAGCAGATTTTGTTGTAAGAAACATACACCTGTTGAGGACGTCCGTTTAGTGTGAAAATCCACGAGCGTAAAGTGGTTATTGAGACATCTGAATACAAAACGATTCGTTACTGTTTATAAATTAGTAGTTACTATTGCAGATCTTGCATATCAGTTACATAATTCTGTCGTAAAGTGTGATAATTTTCAACAATGCAGTCAAATCAATATCATTTTATTATATAGTCGAAATGTGAAACAATTTTGCGGCAAATGTACTCTGTCGGAAAAAAATAAATAACACTCATAAATCGGTACTTGGGACACGCGTCTGTATAAAACTGAGCTTGCTTTTCAAGAATAGTTTTAGATAAATCAACCATTATCTAGGTATGGAGGAGTGCCGATATATAATAAGTACCTTCCCGGACTGGGACCACTATGGATAGACTACATCGAATGTCCTTTAATTGCCAACGATTTAAAGGATTGTGAGTTTGATTGGACAAGTGAAGACAAAAGAGTGTCCTTTGGTGTGGGACCAGCAGTTGTGAAATGTAGGACAGAACCAGTTGAAGGTGTTTAAAATTATTTCTCAAGTTTATATAATCATTTTTTTTTAATATTGAAAAACTCTTTTATCAAGTTGTTTAGTATATTTATATAGAATAAGAACAAACAATCAAGCAAGATAATTTAATACGCATTCTAAAGTATGTTAATGTATGCAATGCGAATGTTTTCTATCAAGTGTATCGATAATGATAGAATTGATCATATTTGAAGGACGCACAAATACGTGGCAGTTAAACCAGTATAAATCAATACCTTTACTCACAGTGGAAGTGATATCCGCCAAAACTAATATTTTTGTTTCTAGAAATTATGTTTTTCTCAAATCAAGTTCTGTAAATGGGATGTCTGAAAAAATGCAAACAATATTTATAGTTGATTTTCTTTAAAATAAAATCAGTATTTTTTTTGTTAATCTCAGAGAAATTGAGATTACATTCCCCATTTTGATTTGTATTACAATATGCGATTTCAAAAAAAACAAAAAAACAATATGCAATTTAATTAAAGGTCCGACATTTAATTGGTTTGAAGTGTATGATATAGTATCACAGACTTTAATAAATGTTGTAATGTTTCCGCCGAGTTCTTGAAAATATAAGTACACTACATTTCAATGTTCATTCTTAAAGACAGAACGTGTGAACATAGAAAACTGCAAAGTATTGTATATTGAATATACTTTATAGCTTCGGTAGTGTATTTATCCCAAGTGACTGGGATATGAAATGCAATAGACCACTTTCGAGTTATGTCCTTCAACGGGAAAGTTCATCAATTTTGTGCGCCTTTGTGACGTCATTTGCCAGATTGAAGGGATTGCCTCTGTCCCTGCACTATTAAATTTCATCAAGCGTCTTTGTGATCGTCATTATGCAGGATAAACTAGAAATAATATTTGTTCCGTAAGTACTTAATCACAATTCCCTAATGATAGCAGTGCTGATTATCAATTATATGACTTTGATTTGCCGAATAATTCGTGCAATATAGCATTATATTTTTTTTAACCAATCGCTCAACATAGGAACGGAAGTGACGACGCCCCTAAACGCACGAATGATGTTCACTATTACCAACGTTTTTGACGGAAATGCAACGAACTCGAAAGTTGTCTATTACTAAATGCAATGTGGATTATTTAAGGACAGAACAGCATCAATATATCTGAAAGGAAAATTGATCAGATTTGCCAGGAATTTTTTTCGTGTTTTCCTCGTCAAGGTTTTATTGAATTATTACAAGTCGGCTAGTAGGGGTGCACAATATGTAACAAATTGTAAAACATACGGACTGTTGAAATGTCAATGAACCGATTTCGACATATGTTTTATCCATCAATCAGTTCTGTGGTGATGATATCATTTTTGGTTTTTCTGTCGTTGATATCAGTGTGTATTTATTTCACAAAAAAAATTAAAAGAAAAAAAAAAAAAAAAAAACCGAACAACAAAACATTTATTGTAAATTTGATGTACATTATTGTAGAGGTTTATAGTGTTGAGATTTTGAGATGTACATGTACTAATCTTGAAATTGAGATTAACATTGAAAGTAAATTTGACATTGTTGATGTTTTAAATATGTTTGGCAATTAATACTCTCTCAAATTGTAAGAGAAAGGCAAAAAAAAAAAAAGAATCTCATTTGAAACAGGATTGCACTCCAATCAGTTGACATCGATGAGAGTCATTAACCTTAAAAAGTGGTAAGTAGTACGTGTATTTTCTTTCAATTTTCCTGATACAAGAGTCATGAATATCAACGAAATATATATTGTGATGAATGTTTTAAATTTGATTTAGTCCCAGAAGTAAAGTTTAGACTAAAAGAAGGATGGAGGAGAGATATACTTCAGTACTTTAAAGACGGCTACTGGGGTTATGTTTGTGGGGCCTACATGGGTACCTCTGAGGCAACGGTGTTCTGTCAAATGTTAGGTTTTACGTAAGTAGAATATTATTGACTATTTAGGTAGCTCGGGTGTCTTCCTCCATCTCGGATTTGGAAAAAGCAGATAACAATTGGTGTAGATCTTTAAAATAATGTGCAAATTTCGAGAGTATTATGTAATTCATGGCTAAGTCTTTTCATGTAAATATAGAAAAATTAAGTGTTTGTATATGTTTATGGCTGTATTTTACAATAAACAGAATATTTTGTTTGTTTCATTTTTTGTCAACTATGTCACATAAGGGAAGATAACTCAGGTATAACGGGAGATAACACAAAAAATTAACTTTATAATAAAATGTGTTGTGAATTTACCAATTTTATTTAGAAGCAAGAAAACGAGTATTTTTTTTATCTGAAAGCACATTATTAGAACAATCTTCTCATATTTATTTTATAATTCTATGGTGTAGTTTTCTTTTTATCACAAAAATTTTGGTTTTCCATGCATAATCTATACAAAATCTGTCAATTTTGCACAACCTGTGGGGTGAAAAAAGCCCCGTGACCCATACTTTTTATTATATTTTTGAAAACAGCATGATGTAAACTACCTTTTTGACAACTTATTAAAAAGATCTATGGATTTAGATTTAGATAAATGATCCTTTATGTAACGGTTATAAATCCAGTAATGGATTATTTTCTTAAAGACATATTCGAGTATTATGCATGTTGTTTAAATTACAATACATATGTTTGTAAGTCAATTCTGTACTCTAGAATAACACACTGGTTATTTCATTATTCAAATTTCTGGTATTATTTTTTATTATTTAGTATCTAACCATTCATTGTATTACATCATATTGTATTCTTCAATTATTTATCCACAAAGACGAGGTACGAATTGCCGCCAAATTGACTCTTACATCAAATATATTTCAAACTGTTAATTATGAATCAAATGTTTAATTTTTTGTACAATCTTTAATTGAAATACACAATTTTCATAGTTAATACAGCCATATAATGACAGCATGTTTAGCAAAATAGTAATAAGACAGCTGTATACACAATAAGGAGATTCAGAGAAAACTAAAGATTATTGTGTTCGAAATACGAACGTCTATACAACTTGGTACTCTTTACGATGTATGGCACATTAGGAAGACAATATGACACATGAATAATAAAGCAATGTATTATTTGACAACTAATAATTGTATTATAATTTCTCTTTTCATAAAAAAGTAATGTGAAAAAAGCATACTGCATTTATATGAAGAAAAATAACAAAAGTGTCTTGTGTCGGAGCTGTATCTTAAAATTAACTTTAACAAAAAAGTCCAAATACGTAGATACACGGAGAGCTATGTGGTAAGAACTAGGCATACAATGAAAACAGCAAAGTGTTCGAATATCAACTTTAATTTAGCTTTATAAAACTACGCTGAAGCATATTCCGCATTTAACACATGCACGAAAGATGATAAAAATATGAAATTTGATAACAGCAATACTATCTCTATACGTTTTTTTTAAAATTAATTTTTCATTATTTCATTTTTCTTATTTTATTGCTTTCTGTTTTATACCAGTAAAGGTGGACATATAATCAATGATGTTGATAATGGAAAAGAATCACAAAACTATCATAGGACAAATGTCGCACCAACCATATTAAAATACATTGAATGTCCATGGAATTCAGTACACCTGGATCAGTGTTCAGAACGTAAATGGAGTCACAAAGATAATAGAATAATCTGCGACTCCCACAAGCGAGATTTAAGACTCAAGTGTAGGTCAACTCCTTTTCCAGGTAATCAACGCATATCTTATTATCGATGCGTAAGGGAAAATAATAACAGAATTAATGTAAGTTTTGTTCATGATTGCAGGCAATGCGGTGATATAGACTTGCTTACCACCAATCTCATTTGGTCTAGATAGTTGTCTCATATTCAATCATACAATTTCTCCTTATTGCCTCACCTACAACGAAAGTCTTTAACGATTTGCACAAGGCTTTATAAATTTAGATAGTAGAATACCTGGATGATTCATATAGTATATGCAATATAACAGGTAAACTTATTTCAGTCTTAAACGATCCTTTGATCTTAACATCATTTGAAATGCCCGACACTACGTTAACTCTTGTTAAGATATTTTATTGTTGTTAATTAGTACTCCGTACGGTTACCTATAGTTGTTAATTTCTGTGTCATTTGGTCTCTTGTGGAGAGTTGTCTCATTGGCAATCATACCACATCTTCTTTTTTATATCATCAGATATTTTGCTTCCAGTCATTTCAGTACTTTTCAGTAGCTCTTCAGACTGAACAGTTCAAATTAAAATGACCATTTAAGTTCAAAATGGTTTACTAGCGTATGTTACGAATATTCTGTCTATCATTAATGTGTATTCTCCTTGATTTTCATGGTTCATTGACAGATTGAGTCATGTATAATTTTTTGCCATGTGAATTTGTCATTTATGAGTCAACTATAGCTGGTATATAGACTATAAAAGATCTACATTTCCGTCAGGCAGGGTTACATGTGACTAAGCCGCATTGAATGTAACCGTAATCAAAGTTAAAGTTTCGTGGTACATTTTCTCGGATACTTTTTTCAATAGGTTAAGTTTATTATGTGTATGAAATGATTGTAAGGTGTAATGTTAGATGAATAAGGTGCACATGTCACTCTGACAGGGTTGACTTAATCCTTCTCTTGATCTGATTACCTTAGCGCAATTGCCAAAACTTTTCGGTAATTTTGATCCCCAATACTATTCAACTTTGTACTTTTATTTTGCGTTCCTTGAATCAAAAGGCACTGATTGATTGGTCTTTTGTAGACCAAACGCGCGTCCGGCGTACGACATTTTAATCCTTGTATCTATGGACAGTTTATTTTATGGTCCATTGGTCAATTGCAATATTTAGTCTTTTCTCAGATATTATGAGTACTAGGTCAACGCTATTCGATCATGACATGATTGTGAGGTGTACACGTCAGAGTTTGACAGGTTTCGTCTACCTGGACCTTATTCTAATTGTTAAAGTTTTAATGGTTTGGCTAATATATCAGATACTATGCAAAATAGGTCAACTATATTTGGTGTATATAATGAATTATGTTTGTACTTGCCTGTCTGACATTGTTTACTTGATCTCAGCCACATTTTAATAGTTAACTGCTGAATTTATCTTAATTTCATGTTTTGTGCTTTTTCTCAGCACTATATCTATTATATTTGGTGTATTTTATTAATTAAAGTCAATAGGTCAATGTTGAATAACCCATGGTATCTTCCGCCTCTCTTTTAGGTTGACAGCAGCTTAACATAGACTAAAGAATTATAAGAATATGGTCCATTTGTGTGTTTATTGGTGATTCAGTTAGATATACTTGTAGAATGTGCTCTTCGGCTTTGTACTTGTTTTGGCTTCCAAGCTGTTTTCATCTGAGCGTCACTGGATGGTCTTGTGTGGACGAGACGAACGTCTGGCGTATTGAATTTTAAGCCTAGCACCTTTTGTTAGCTATTATTCGTGTGTTTCTTTGTCCTATATGTTCTCCCATTTTTTTGTATTGTGGTCCTGTCATGTGATGTTGTCGTTTTGTGTTGTGTTTGACGTTGCCATTTAAGCGGGAGGTTTGGCATGCCACAAAACCAGGTTGAACCCACCATTTTGTTCTTGAAATGTCCTGTACCAAGTCAGGAAAATGGCCATTGTTATATTATAGTTCGTTTCTGTGTGTGTTACATTTTAATGTTGTGTTTTTGTTGTGTCGTTGTTCTCTTATATTTGATGCGTTTCCCTCAGTTTTAGTTTGTAACCCGGATTTGTTTTTATCTCTATCGATTTATGAGTTTCGAACAGTGGTATACTACTGTTGCCTTTATTTATACCGTTCAATATGTTGTTGTTAGAAGAAACGAGTAGAGCCTATGTTTAGCAGTTCAGAGAATAGGTCACATTTAATAAAAACAGCTGAACATACTTAGAATTTCATCAAAAACATGCTATTTTGTTTTCAAGAATAATTTCATTGGGCATATGCGACTTCGCAAAGATAGAAAAAACACATGGGATTAAAAATCAGACACCAAAATGAAAGATATACTGTATATCAATGGCTGGACAATACATTTATAAAATACAACAATTATATCATATATCAGTGGATTTAAATTCATGAGAATAGTAGTTGCTAGGTGAAATATATCGAATCACAACTTTGTATTATTTGGTTTGGCTTCAAACCATGAGCGTGAACGTGTGTAGGCTGCTACCCTTTCTTATGTTTAGAAAATATAATCTTTTCGTATACAATAAGCAATATTGCGGGACATATGCAACCCAATCACCAATCCTGGCGGGTCACACACGGTATATTCTAGGAAGAACCTCTGTCTATAATTGTAAAAGAATTACCTATTGAGAGTTGTCTGTGCATAGGAGCGCTGCAAAAAATGTTGATAACAATTTGGTTTCTTGATAACTGAGATTTTATATTCCCTGAAAAAAACCAGAGAGCCAATTGTCTTCGCCTTATTGCGAAGATCTTTTGATAATACATGAAACTCGAGCATGCCTTAATGGATTACATGTATAATACATTTGCAACAATTTGAAAATTCAATGTAACATGTGTAATGCAAATGTTTCTGTACCTCTCAAAACACATTATTTTTAATCTTTATAATACAAGACAGAAATATAATGTCACAATTTTTTTTCTTTTCTGTGTATCAGTATAAATGTGGATTATTGAGCATGATGACATTGAATGTGTTTTATTAAAGAGTATGAAGTGCAGTTATTTGGAGGAAATTCGACTAATGAAGGTGAACTTCTTGTAAAATATGATAACACGTGGACAACGGTACATTCTCATAAATTCCCAACAACAAATGTAGCTGTGGTATGCAGGCAGCTTGGATTTAGGTATTTAGGTTATATAAACAGATTGTAAATAAGTGCATTTCAAAGCAAATAAGAGTTGAAGAACTAATGTAGTAATCGAACTTCGCTAAATAAATATCCCAAAACAGTTGTCAGTAGAGCATCTTAGGAATGACTGTAATATATTTTTTGTCTATGAAGAAATAACATCAAAAATGTGGTGTACACTGAATAAGCCGCGTAGCGGGTTATTTTAAAGTCTGCACCACATTTTTTATGTTATTTCGAATAGACAGAAAAAATATTACAGTCATTTCTTATAATCTAATTCTAAATTCCATTTGAAACCGGAGTAGACCATGGAAAAACGTTGATGACGTCACGATCACATGACAAAATTTTGTCTATGAGCTGATAAACAAAACAACGTCAGCCAATCGGAAGACGCGTTACATCCAAAATTAAATTATATGATGAATGAAATAACGTTTGGGATTATTTTTATTTTAAATTTTTTTGGCTAATAGTTTTCTTAAGGAAAAGCGCAAAGGGGGGACATCAACTTTTTAAAATATTTGTTTTAGAAAGAAACGTAAATTGGATCGGCTAGCCACTGTTTAACATATTTAAACCGAAAAATGGTGTTCATATTTTGCATGCTACTAATATTGAGTGATATGAACCCCACCAATCACAGGGCGAGATATGATGAAGAAATATGATGAGTTTTTGTTAGTGTAAATCATTATTGCCAATTGATTGGTATAGTTTCTTTAGCATCCTTCAAAGCCATTTGCATACACATATAATGTATATTACAGACATGGAAGAGAAGAAAACAGTAAAGACTCTGTTTACATGGTTCATGAAAATAGTCCATTTTGGTTAATTTTCAAATGCAATGGAAAAGAACAGAATGTGGGACAATGCAATTCAATGGAAACACAGCCATTCTCACCATTTGAAAGCCAAGTGTCAGTGTTTATTAAGTGCTATGAAAAAAGCGATCCCGGTATGTTTGTTTCTTTGTTTTTGTTTTGTTTTAAAGATTTATGCTAAACTCATTAGAGTTACCATTTTTTCGCTTGTTTTCGTCGACAAAATATTGTGTACTGGATAGGATTGGAATTTTGAATTGCAACAGACCACATAATAACCCCAAAACGAGTTTTGCAATCTGTTTTCTTGAAGGATGTTCGCTTCTCTTGTTTTGAATTTTTGTAACATATTCGGAATCCTCTGGTTTTATCCATCTAGTACACATTAAAAATTTTGCTCATTAAGCCCTACTTTTCTTTTTATAATTTTTATAACATATAATTTTAAAAATCTTATTTGAAAATCTTATAAAAACCTTGTTATTTTTTCATAGTTTTTGAAAGAAAATGCTGCCAATGTTAATTTAATGAAAAATCTAGAGATTAACATTTCCCGCTAAATTTTCAATGGCTTATATCTCAAAAACAAGCACACAAACCTATATTGTTTTCTTCTTTTTCAGTTCCGTTATAAATATACAATCAATTCATAACAGTCTTTTAAAAAGCTTGTTAATTTGAAACAGAGTAGCAAACATCCTTAAATGCATGGAGGTAGAATGGCATTGCACGTACACGAAATGTTAGACTGAACGTCATCATTGGGACTGGATGGGTTCCATATGTCTCAATCCTGCAAAGCCAATTCAACATTCATCTTTAACAGGGTCATCCTGACGAAACGGGATAAGAACTTGTGACGACGGATATGTTCCAATTGTCCCATCCACAATCTTGTCCTATTTTTCTCGAATATATTCTACCGATAAAAGATTTTTTCCTACATGAGTAACAGGACCTGTGTACCCTTCCGGATCACCTGACCATCCCTGGTTTTTCGTTAGGTTCGTGTTAGTCTTAGTTTTCAGTGATTTGATTTATAGGCTGTCGTCTGGTCGTTTTTCTTTTTTTGTCTTGTCATTGTTAGTTCGTTTTTGACTTATGAGTATTTTCCGCCTCTTTCTTTCAGTATTATTATTTTTTTTTGTAGAGCTCCAGATGACAGTTTCTTTAGAAAGTGATGGAAAAGTTATTGTTCATCGACAGGGAGAAACATGGGAGATCTGTTCTTCTCGATGGTCTGATTTCCATGGCAACTCTCTATGGGATGATGTTACTGCAACGGCTGTCTGTCGCATGTTAAATAAAAGGTAGATAGTATTATTAAGTATTTAAAATTGAAAGCTTTTTAATGTTACATTATGGGATATGCATGTTCTAGTCAAATTCCTGCTTAACTGTTCAAGTGTCACAGAATATCATTCAAAGTATTCCTGTGAATAATTTGTTGGAACGTGTTTTAATTACCCTATTGTCGTCCTATGCCTTTGGGATAGATGAACACTCCCTCCAAAGGGTGATCGTGGTATAAATCCTTATGAAATATCTACTTCACAGATGACGAGGGATATGTTCCAATTTTTGAAACAACTGTGACTGAGAAATGACCATTGAAACTCATCGAATTTGTACTTTATGGGAAATACGATGGGCGCTACACGTGGAGCAGGATCTGCTTACCCTATCCTAGCAGCTAGGATAACCCTAAATTTTGTTGGTGTTTGTATTGGTTAGTCTTTTATTCGTTTTTCGTTTTTTGACATGAGTTTGAAAATTCGTTTGATATCTTTAATTTGTCTTATACACGTCACTTTCTCTATGTGCTTGTTCGTTAACAGAAGTTTGTAACCAAGTGCTTTTCATGGATTGCTTCTGCATTAATTTTGTGTCTTTTATTGTTTTCGTATAAAATGTTTTTGATTTCTCGCGTGAATTATTTTGAGTTCCCAATTCATTCTTTAGCAGTTTGCTTAACCGAATGTGTTTGTTTCATGTTAAAGGTTGTATGATGACCTGTAGTTGTTAACATCTTTAAGTTGTCTCATTGACAGATATATCAAATAAATAAACGACAAACGGAAACTAAGATCATTCATCAAATATCTAATTCTACGATTTAGTTTGCTTGTAGCGCGTTTTGTATAATCAAGACTATAAGTTACGCTTGAATCAAAACAATTATTTGCTCAAATCAGAAACAAAACAGCATTCAAATCTAAAATATGTCTGGCTCAGGATATCTATTAACTATTGGTGAAGGTTGTTCAAGAAACCAAAGTCCTCCAACAATAGCGTTGTCCTAGTGTTTGCAAAAATATATATGAAAGATCATAAAATGAATATAAAACGTATGATTTGAACTTTGATTTCTTTAACTTAACAGATTACCCGGTTCTTTTTTTTCCTTTGAGTCTTGGATCGACAATTCAATGCATCTACCCCTGTCATAGATAGCCTTAGCCGCATTAGACACACATTTATTTTAATTGTTCTATGACTGTTATTTGGCCTTCATCTGTTTTCATATATTCGCCACTGATGAGTCTCTTGTCAATGAAATGCGCGACTATCGTACAAAATTCTGGGCCAGGTTTCTTTCATTAGCAATTACGACATATTTGCGATTTTCCATTTTTTTAATTGTCGTTATTGAACTTGTTTTGTACGGAATTATGAATTATCTTGACACATGCTAATTGTGATAAAATCTTCAATGAAATGTGCATTTCTTTCAAAATTTAAAGTCACTTTAATCACTGCAAAGTTATCAGAAGGTGACTTTTTTCTTTGTAATATCGTGAACATATCTTCTTAGGTTCACAAAGCGACCGAGTACTGCTCAATAGATACTGCAACTAATCTAGTTTACTTGTACACTTTTCCCGTCAATACAATCATGCTTAGTACATGTAGTAGATCTAAAATGAAACAATTTTCTTTTTTTCAGCAATGGAACCGCAACACACTTACCTTTTGATTCTCGAGAAAGTCCAGCAACGGCAAATAACATACAACAAGTTTATTGTCCTAGAGGAGCTTCACATCTCGGAGATTGTTTCTATGGACGTCTTGGTTTCAAGGATTATTGGTTTTCCCCATGGGCACCAGGTGATTGCAATGAAGCAGTAATGCATAAGACATATCGTGGTGGTGTACAATGCAGCATATAAAGATTTGACATACTTATCAAATTTGATACGCTTGAAAAGAGTTTGAAAATCGATCTGAAATGTACAGTTAGGTCTCTGATAATATTTTCTATCCACATTATTTTCACAAACATTATAAACTATTTTGAATAAACAGCAAGATGATTAAACAATGTTGTGTATCATACTCTCCAATGAACCAATACCCTAAAAATCATGTAATCGTTTCATTGTCAGACACTTTCAACATTTGGTGAACATTCTTAATGGATGTTCTGAAAGGTGTGAATATTTTGAGATTTGAAAAAAAGCTTCAAATAGTTTCAACATCATCTCCGAGTTTATAATACAATGTTGACTGCTGAATCCCTATTTTTGACATTTTTACCTAATATTTCTTTTGTTCACACATTGTTGCCAATATAATGAAATTTTGTGCGACTGTCATACAAGTGAGAGGTTTAGCTAGCTATACAACCAGGGTTCATCCACCATTTTCTACAAAACGAAATGCCAGTACCTACACTGTAGTCAGGAATATGACAGTTGTTTTCCATTATTCGTTTGATGTTTAAAGCCTTTGATTTTGCCATTTGATAAGAGACTCTTCGAATTGATTTTCCTTGGAATTCGGTATTATTGTTATTTTACTATTTATCCTTTTTTCAAAGAATGATTGAAACGAAATCAGAATGATAGCTAACTTAAAGTTTATTATCTTGTAATACTGTGTGATTTTATTTCAGCAGGTAAATTGCTTCATGTTTGCATGCTCTTACAGAGAGCGATTTTATTTTGTGTAGCAATGATTGTACTCAAAACTGTGTAAACATACATCACAGACAGACAACACAACTTACTTTAAATTTCAAATAGACATAAACATTATTCTAACAAATACGTCAACAAAAAAGGGGAACTTGCGACATGTGTTCGCAATTAGAGATCTTTAGGTACAAAATACATTGTACCTGTAAAATATTCCATGTTCGCCTATTCCCGATTTAATACTTGAATTGAACTGAGTTTCGGAATGCATAACGGTTATGTTATGTGTAGTATGCTTGCCATGTTGGCGCGCCCGGTCTCGTTTCTTGTAGAGTTTGTGTTTTTGCCTCTTTTTTACCTAACCTTATGTGTATCTTTGCAATGAATTTGGAAACTTTAACTAACTATTTTTAACCCAAATTTCTCACCTTAAACAATGAACTAGATATAAGAAGATGTGGTCTGAGTGCCAATGAGACAACTCTCCATCCAAGTCACAATAATTTAAAAGTAAACCATCATATGTTAAAGTACGGCCTTCAATACGGAGCATATGGCTCACACCAAACAGCAACTATAAAGGGCCCTACAAGTGACTAATGTAAAACTATTCAAACAGGAAAACCAACGGTCTACGAGAAACCAGAAACATATATAAACCACATCAACAAACGACAACCACTGAACAACAGGTTCCTGTATAGATACTGTAAACCAACTAATTTCGCGAGATATTTATTTTCGCGTTTTTCGCGAGTATAAAATTAACGCGAATATAAAATGTCGCGAATATGTAAAACTTGGATTTTTCCTTAGCTATCTACAAGAAGAAATTTGAGAATCGCGAAATTAAATCGCCGCGAGATGAAATAGAAAGGGATAAACGCGAAACAAAGTATCCGCGAAAATAAGTTGGTTTACAGTATTCAAATATTAGGAGAAACGTTTACGACTAATGTATCTGACTTTCGGAACTGTTTGAATACTTAAGGTAACTATTTTAAATCTAATATGTACACAAAGCAAAACAGGACCCCTTGATATATTGATTTAAAACATGTTACCCCGAATTTAAATTTGAAGGTTAATATTGATTTTTCACAAGACCATTGTTACATAAAAACGATGTGTTCATACAGTTGTGATCGGTAAGAAAGATATTAATGTATCATGCACATGTACCATTCACTGCATGCAGCATTAAAAATTCAATGTGTCCACGCTTTAGATATTGGTATGTAAGTCCGACATTTTGAAAAATGTATTCATTCTCTTTGAACTTGGTACTTAAAACGAATATCGGCGGCTCAACATTGACAAACTATCGACCAACAGAGATGTCGTTCAAATCTATCAGATAGGTTATCATTATAATAAAGGCAGTGAACTCCGTAAAAGACTTGCCAAGAGCAGGTAGACCACCTGTAAAATTGCAGCGTGAAGACAGGGCAGTTTATCGCCTGGTTAGACAAATGGCATTTGCAACAAGTCCTTTTCTAAAAGACGTATTTTTGTGATTTTACTTTTTACTTAATAATCAACCAGAACAACTAGGAACCGATTGAAATTAGCAGGATTGATGTCAATGCAAATAATTAGTAGTCTCATGTGATCTAATCGACATCAACGAAACTCATGTTGTTTACCGCGATGTGGCGCAGAATCATTTGGTTGGACGAGAGCTGATTTTAGCTGCATGTTACAGATGAACAAATGTGAGTTCGAAGATAAAAATTATGGCACATACCCCAATTGAACATCCATGCAACCGACAGTCCCTTATTGTGGAGGTTCTGTAATAATATAGGGATGCATCTCTCATGATTGCAAGTTAGACTTGGTGACCACTCGAGATGTGAGCAGAACTTACCAGCTACGTCAAAATATTTGAAGGAAAATTATCAGCGACGTCAGAATGTGTGAAAAGTGTGAAAAGACGCTATCAAGCTTAATAAATTCAAGCGTAAATCTCTCTAAGAGAGGTGATAAGGACCAGCAGTGGTACTTTAATCATGTAATTTGATTTCTCGTATAAATATCGTAAAATATCATCCGCTCGATACAATTTAGAGTCGTTTAGTTTCAACTCCCTCAGGCAAAGTTGACCTTAGATGAATTTGGCTATTTGTTTTAGGCATTTTTGTCATATAGCTCTTCAACTGTTTCGGTACTTATACATCCCTCGGATTTCAAATGTTTGGCTTTGAGCGTTCCTGATGAAGGTAAATCCAGAAAAGCGCTTCGGACGCATAAAATTATTACGTGTTGTTTTCAATTGTTAGCTAGGGCGTTTCGCTCATTCACCAAAAAAGGTTCACATTGTAGCTCTCTGCAGATATCTAACAATATAAATGTGTAGAAAACCGATAATCTTTACATGCACAAGGGATCTGTTAAGTATCATAAAGTGAAACTCTTTGGTCAGAGTTTTGAAAATTATCATAAGATAGTCCTTAAATAAGGTGTATTTGTTTGAACCAATAATGGAATTCCAACACTTGTATTAGTACTTTTCGTTAATCTTTTGATCTGAAAAAAGTTTTTTGCAACTAATTATTAAATTCATTAAAAGTTAAAGAAACGCTCCATGCATGTTTTATCATATTATTCACCTTAGTGTTGTTTTATTTATATTTCTGCCGGACTGTAAACAGATGAATATATTCTAAATATTTCATGGATCCGACAACGAGGTCTACATTCTTTACTTATTTCAGAATTCATCCTGTATTTTTTTTTGTTCTGTCGAATTCGTAGGTAATTCGATTTGTAAGAGTGGCAATATCATTACATTTAAAAAGATTTTTCATGTGTCATCTTATGAAGCACTTTAGAAACACAACAGGTAAATTTTAGCCATATGAACATTTTGATGGCGGTCAAAATAAATTCTGGGGAATGCTCTAATTAAAGAGAAGAGTAGTGTAAACTTTACGTATTACCCTAAACTGTGAGAAATTGAAGGCATGTAGATTTTAATAAGTAACTCATTACCAACTCTTTTTTGATATTTTTCTATTTTCAAAAATCATATTGCAGGTAACTTTCTATTCAAGTATATAATTCTAAAGTTAATTGGCACTCTTGTATATCTTGTATATGTACAGGAAGTTCCTATGCAGAAGTCCATTGTCTATTTGAATCAAATGCGGAATTAAGCGACACCAATTAAAATTGAATGGATAATGAATAGACGAGACAAATATATGACAATACCCCCAATTACGATCACATTGGTGAAAGTATGATACATTATTAAATCTAATCTTATACCGTGTAGAAACTAATTTAGTCTAAAATTAGTCATTCTGAAATTATCTTTTAAATAACACAATAACAATTTAAATGAAATTAAAGATAATGTCTATTATATACAATCATTACTTACGCATAGCATCATGAAAATTGTAAAAACTAAAGCAAATGCTGGATTTTACACAGAGTTTATAATCAAGGAGAGAATATAACTATATTCATCTAGAGTGCATAATGAGTAATATAGTACACTGGATATTTATACAATTTGTATGTGGCTATTTTTGCAACTCTAACGCCTATGAAGTATACAGGCTTCCTGAAAGACATAGTAAGTATACATACATTCACGTTTTTATTAACATTAACTTTTCAGGGCCAAACTATACAAGATACATTTACATAGTTGACATTCAGGACAATGGCTCAGCTACCTAAAATTGAATTTATATTGAACAAGAAAAGTGGTTAAACTCGAATTTATGTCGCATGTATAAAAAATTAAATGACCGTGATTCTGACAAAATATCAAGAAGTGACAACAATCTTTACCATGAACATAACGAAGTTGATGATATGACATCAACTGACTTTAAACATTTGCAACACAATATCTTTGTACACTGTCGCTTCAAAATGAGTTGTCAGTGACAGGACTTAAAAGTGTTAAGGGCATAATGAAGTACCATGAACAAATAAATCATCATTTTAAGAAAAAATTAATTATGCGTTTAGTTCATTTGATATTCATGTTATTATTGAGCGCTTGAAAATGAATGATATATTGATGTATTTGAGCGTTATCTTACTAATCAATACTGAGTATCGAATATTTCATGTTTTATTACAGATAGAAGATCCTTATTTTATTTTGACGAAGATCGTAGTGGTTAAACTTAACATTAGGCGTATTTTGACTTCAATTTCAAATCATATCTAGCTGGTACTCAAATGTCGGTTTCTATAGTCCTAAATATTTATATATCTGGAGCATTTTTATTTTTCTAAATACCAAGGACTTTCCTTCCATTGAATTGATTACCTAGGATGTATTTGGCAACAAATTTTGGGTCCTCAGTGATCCTAAACGTCATACTTATTAGCCTTTTTAAACGTTTGTGATACTAGCATAACTGATGAGTCTTTGGTAGACGGAACGAGCGTCTGGTTACGAAATATTAATTCTGGTATCTATGATGAGTGTATTTGTCGATACTTTGATTCAATATTTTTTTAGCTATTCTGACAATAACAATATATGAGGACATGTACATGCAACTATTTTTAAAAAAAAATAGACAGACAAAATCTAGTGAATAATAAATATCAATAGTCGGAGAGAGACTGACAAAATCCGAACAAACACGAAAAAAGAAGGAAATGCAAACAACAGTTACAACAGAACAATACATAAAAAATTAAAGACAGAGCAACACAAACCACACCAACGAATGCAGGTGATCTTATGTGACAGTTTAAAAAAACGTCTTTTTTTAAAGCAATCAAAAGAGGAAAGTGTAAAATTTATGATTATGACAAACGAAACAACATCTAGCTATGAAGAACTGTATCCCGGAATGGGAGGGCTAAAATGATATAGAAAGCAAGTGCCACGAAAATGATGTACATGTAAAATAATAATGTGTATTTCGTAATGACATAGCAAATTTACGGTTAAAATTCGAAACAATCGAAACAGATGATAATGAAAGAAAAAATATTAAACGGTTGCACCAAAGATAAATATTTCAATCAGTTTTGTATAGCTTGTGATACAGGTTGTCCTTTTGAGTATTAAGACACTCATTGTCATAAATTGAAAATTAGAAACAATCAATCATTGTCAAAGTCGGTAACTGGAAATCGCAGTTCATATATATATATATTAGATTTTAAGAATTGTTTTATTATTTAGATATCACCCATGTAAATGGATTAAAGTTCTTATCGCCATATATTAGTAATTTTGCAATAGGAGAACATAAAAGACTTGTTCTAAGATGTCAAGTGCGCACTGACAGAGAACCTAATTTTGAGGTAAGATTGAACATGAAATTACAGTATGCATTACATCCAATTACAATTAATAAGAAAAGTTCAAGTATAATGTAAAGTAATAGAAATACCGACTCAAGGAAAATTCATAACGGACAGTCATTTGAGAAACGTCAAAATCAACTGATCAAAAACATTAAACGAATAGAAAACAACTCTCATATTCCTGAATACGTACAGGCATTTCCCGATGTCGAAAATTGGGGATTATCCTGGTTCTATATAAACTTAAACCTTCTAATTGTATGACAGTCGTAGAAAATTCCATTGACACCAATGTGTTAGCATAAAAAGAGCACAATACCACAATGACGTCAACAATATCAGATGAAAGTAAGGTAACCAATTTTGCTATGGATAATCAAAGAAAAAACTCTTTTGATCCTTTGAAACCTTTTAAAAACAATAACTGTACTTGAACTAGGTCTTAAAATATCTATCTTAGCCTTGTTAACCAAACGCTCTATTTAAAACTTTTTAATGTGAGAATCAAAACGCCGATTACATTTTGAACGTCATTTTTGTGTAGACAAATCGACAGTTTTTTTTGCTATATAACATATTTTATTTTATTGTAATGTTTGTCCTTAGACCAATGAACATCAGACAACATATTTATATAAGAATATGGGGACACTCATTTTTTTTTATTCATATATAAAAACTCGAACCTTATAATGAGTGCAAGATATAACTATCACAGTTTGATATAAGTGAAGTTATTTTTTTAACTAGAATTTTTAACTGGTTTATTTAAGGTCACTAAATAAGTATTTTGTACACGGAACTCAGTTATGAGTTTCGTATCAATAATGAGTTTTGATGTGAAATTTTTATAAAGACTTTCGAAATGTTTTTCGATAAAGTGCTGGAAGGATGTAGTATACGTTGCTGGAACGTGTGTAATAATGTTAGGATTGTTAAGTATTATGTTCCGATGTCCTACGTTTAATTGATTTCCGAGCAAATGAGCTTCGGTCGGAAGTCGGAAGTTATACAAGCATTATTTTGGAAGCTTAATACATTCTCGATAGTCACATAAGTGAACACAAATCAGTACCTTATTTAAAAACGAATGCTCAAATATGAAGAAACTCACTAAACATTGCTAAAATCATAGTTCATTTTTGATACAGCTGCGGAAGAGTTATTTATTCTTTCATATGAAAATAAATCGAGGAATTCAAAGCACTGCGAACGCACCAAATTGAGACAAAATTACGTTGTTCTCCTCTTATATTTGATGCGTTTCCCTCAGTTTTAGTTTGTAACCCGATTTGTTTTTATCTCTATCGATTTATGAGTTTGGAACAGCGGTATACTACTGTTGCCTTCATTCATTGGAGTGGTTTACACCTATATCTTATTATAAGCTTGTTAAAGGCGAAAATTGTATTAGCTAGTACTAACCAAAGGAAAAGGTGTTTAAGGCTTTTAACTTGAGGAAATGTGCGGAGAGAAAATAAAACACTATCTATGTTAACCAAGTCATAAAATTTTATAATCGGAAATATATGTATTTGGTTCTAGATTAATAAGGGATAGACAAATACCACAGTTTACAATATGTCCGGAAAAACGTCACAACAAAAACCCAAATGGCATTTATTAAAATAATAAATGAATTATATAACGACTGTCAAAGAATTATTCATTAAATACGCCATTTTGTTGTTCATTGTTATGGCATGGAAGTTTTGGCGTATTCTATACAAATTGGAGATGTTCCTCCTTCCCAACGTCAGTTTTTATGTATATTCTGGGTCCGTCGTCAAGGAGAAGGGTTAGACGATATATTTCAAGTTACTTTAGAAGGTCACGACAACCAAGTTAAAGAAACTCAGCGATTTGTAAATATTTTATTATTAATAGACCCTTTGTCATATTGATATGTAATTGCACGTTTTATTATTGTTAAAATGTGAATATTGGAAAATGTCTGTACACCGATTAGAAATTCATTTTATTTTTCTACAATTTGTATTTGTTTTTCTAATAAGCTATTTATGATAACCTTCATAACTAATAATGTGTTTAAAAACCTTTGTGAGATTAGCAATGCTTTGAAATCGTTTTTTGTTTTTGTTTGTTTGATTGTGTTTATAGAATAAGCTTAAGACAATATTGTATGATTGTCAATGAGAATATCACTATCAATCACAGACCAAGTGACATATACGTTGTCAACAAAAGGTCAAAGAACGACCTTCAAAAATGAGGAATACCCCTGTGTTTATTTTGAGTAGTATAATTGTATTTAATTATTCCCTTTTTTGTTTTTGTTGTATTAGATTCATAAGATTTGTCGTACACTGTAGTACTTTATAATTGTAAATAATCTTATAATTTCTTTATTTGTTTAATTCTTTTGATTTCCTTTAGTGGGTAAGGATAGAGAACTCAACGTCTGCAAAAGTTATAAGAAATAATACTGACGATGGACGCTATTTGATCTTCGTAAAAAGACGACAACGACGGCGAGGTGACACATACAACAATAAACTTGTAATACGAAACACACAAGCATCAGATTCAGGAGTTATAAAGTGTCGTGTAAATGTCAGAGGGTCCGCTGTCATAGAAAGACAATTCAAAGTTAACGTTGGAGGTGAGTCTTACATTAAACAATAGCAGTCTCTATAAGTATTTACCTATAAAACGTTTAAACCGCAGCATTGGTATGCACCTGTCTAAAGTGAGGAGCCTGTTGTTCAGTGGTTGCCGTTGGTTGGTGCTGTTCATAAATTTTTACAATTTGTACAAATTATACCGTTGGTTTCCCTCATTTAATTGTTTAACAATAGTTATTTTGGTGCACTGTCATAGCTTGCTGTTCGTTGTGAGTCAATGCTCTGTGTTGAAGGCCGTACTTTGACATATGATTGCTTATTGTTGACACAATGTGATTTGGATGGACAGTTGTCTTATTGGCACTCATACCACATCTTCTTATTCATAATTGAAAAGTCTTATCAAGTGATAGGCGACATGTTTTAGCGGAAAGGTAATTGACTGTTATCTAACTTTACACATCACCAAATTCTTAAACCGTTGATTCATCAATCATAATAGAGAGACGGAATATATAAAAGGAATAATAGCATAATTTGAATAGAAAATGACAATGTCATGCAAAAGAAAGAATACCGACAACACAACAAACTGCAGTCTACCAAACATAACGTATACAACCAAAGACTTTAATAACCACATCAAAACCACAAGGGTTGATATTGAGTGCTCCATATTGGGATAAGCATATCATGCTCTATTTTCGGTTACCGTCGTAGTGCTTATGTAAGTACAAACCTTGTTATAAGTGTTATGCATACAACTGTGATTTATATATGTGTTGATCAAAACGCATCACTCAGATGTGTTTCTTCATAAAACGATGGTTTAAATACGTTATCTGACTTGCCAATGCAGGTGTTTGAATAAAGCTATGTTTAATGTCTCCATATGAATATAAATGCAACTCAATGAAAACCATACTTCCCTGCTCCCGAAGCGCTTTTTTATTTATCTTCATCAAGACGTTCATAGTCAGAAAATTGAAAGATAAGTATGTATAAAAAACTTAATATTTGATGAACTATATAACCACAATAGATCACAAATAAAAAGTCAAATGCATCTAAAGTCAACTTTGATGAAGATGTAATGTAAATAGAGTTCGTCAATTTGAAGCCTAGAGTATTACCATTATTCAAAATTCTACGGTCGAATCATTTTTCAGAATTCTACATTTAATTCCTTTATCAAATATCTAAGGTAGTATATTCAATTACAATATTTCTATTTGATACGAAAATGTGAACCATGCATAAGAGAGATTAATGTTGAAAAAGGTAAAATCACAAAATACTAAACTCCGAGGAAAATTCAAAAAGGAAAGTCCCTCATCAAATGGCAAAATCAAAAGTTCAAACACTTAGTGTGAAGGCCTTTATTAACACAAAGACAGATCAGGAAAATGAAATCAAAATTACAAATTAATTCATGGGATCACATCTATCCTACTAAACTTGATATGTCAGATTAAACAAATTTACTTACGTCAGCTTCGCATCGAGGCTTGAATCTAGTAATTTTCGATCAAGGATTGTGTTTTGATAAGATCTTAATTTTGCAATAAAAGAGAGTTATAGATTTATATGTTGTTGATCTTTCAAATCATCTTACGACTAGAACAATATTCTGAAAATTTGATCCGCGGGATACATCATTTGAAGTTCCCCGTTCTGTTATTTATAAGCAGGCTATAACATTGAATTTTAATAGAATATTCTAGACGTGAAGTATAGCTTTACGTAACATCTGCATTGTGATTTTAATTTAATTTATAACAATATTCTTTTTTGGTTCGCCAGACCAATCTTTTGTCTGCAAACGACTTATATGTGGCATTAAATCCAAAACCGAGTCTGAAAATCATAAACCATCAAAATGTCGAGAAATTGCGAAAAAGACAGCATAGACGTATATCAATATCCTTACGCCATTCTTACGTGCAATTTATCAGTTCATGACAATTTAAAGTAATTATTCATATTGCAAATTTGCTCATCTGTTTTTCTCTTCAAAAAGGTTTCAAGTATTTCCAAGAAATGTACGGTTTACGGAGTTGAAACACCAATACCTTCCAACGAAAAGCAATTTATCTATTATCAAATGATGTCAAAGTACTTAACATTTGTCATGTCATTTTCAGAATCTATATTGACTCCGATTAGACTGGAATCATACACTCAGCGTGGAGAAGGATTGCTCCGAATTCGCTTAAAGAACAAATGGACTTATTTTCATTACAATACTTTCAGTTCAGTAAAGGCCTCTATTGTGTGTCGGTCTCTTGGATATCCGTATGTATACAATTTGCTTAAATAACCAGCTACTTTAATACAATTTATATACATTATTTTGATTATTTAAGTATATTAATCTCCTTCTATGATTCAATGAATAATGAAGAAAAAGAGTAGTATGTAGGTGTCATGAATATTCATTCTTACAACTTAGTTACGTTTGTGGTTCAAGTATCACAGTAAATCTTGGTAAAAACACATCCATGCTTTCTATCTAATAATTGCGAACGGCTTTTTTTTATGTCTACAAAAATGTGGCGCTTGAATTCTGACAGTTTTGCACAAAAAACCATCGGGAACAAAATTCCACCAGCAGTGTATTACCGAAAGGTCTGAATTTAACAATATGATTCTGAATAAGACTGAAACATTTCTCGACGTTCGTAAAGTGTAGGACTCTACCTCAATATTTCGATAATCTTAAAGTATCACAATTTTGTATTGATACATTATCCACAATCTAAACAGTATCGGAGTTTATAAGCAGTCTAGAGGGTGTATGAGTTTGTTTTGACAATTTAAAGTGTGTTTGAGTTCTTGTTGACACATCTTCAGCCATCAAGTGTGTATTCGTTTTCCTCCACACCTTAATGTTATACCTAGTTTATTAAAAGTTTTGAATACAAAAACTAAAAGAATATTATGCACGTACGATCCAACGCTGATCCATTTAGTCTTTTATCTTTCTTATTGTTATGGTGTCTATTAAGAATTACAGATTGTTCATTAATTAGTGAATCAAGTAACAACAGTATTTAACTGAATGATGGAATCATTGAACGGCAGTATACATGAAGTGAATTTAACTCTGACGCCATTCTAATCGACCTAGGTTTAATCACTGAAAGAAATAAGCTTCTGACATTATCTAAACCTCAAAATGTACGAGCTTATGTCTATGTTTCATAGCCAAGTTTTTTTTTTCATTAAAAATAATAAAAGCAGCATAATTTTCAAGTTGTATCAAATATTCAAGCATCTCATATCAATTTTATTTATGTCTTTTTCTTCCAGATATGGGGGTGTAGCACGAAATACATATGAAGAACGAACTATATTAGGACATGCAGAGCATCACGTGTACAAAAGTGAAAAATATAACCCATATTGTATCTATGGAATCAGTTGTTTCCCAAATGTTACAGATATCGTCCAATGTCAAATAATAAAACAAAAAAAATGTTACTCTCCACATGTGCTTGGAATTACTTGCAGGTTGGAGCCTGTTAAAAGTATGAAATAATTTATAACTTTATAACACTTGAAAAGTAAATGTATTAGCAAAAACAGTGAACTGTATGAGCTCTTATACGACTTCCCCTTAACAAAACTTGGGTACTTAAAAAAGGCATTTGTGACACAATTTTAGTCTTTTCTCATACAGTTCAGTTGCATTTTGCCGGTTTGTTTTAGTTTCAAATAATTGACAGGATAAATCAGTATCAAAAGCTTTTATTATAAACATGATAAATGTGAGATTGTTCTAAGGTTAATACATTCATGTTTTTTTTTCATTGTCGAAGGCCGTACGGTTACCTTTAATCGCTTACTCGTGTTACTGTGGATTCATTATTATGCGTTGGATACCAATTTTCTTTGGCTTTCGTGGTTATTTGGTAACCACAAATTCCAATATCCAACAATTTACAAATTTTCTTCAGGAATATATTCAGACTTTGTCCAAACAACAAAATCAAACATCCACGAAAATGCATGTTTTCCTCAATCCACGTAAATTGGTACCCACGAAAATAAATGAATCCACAGTACATCGACTTTATAAGAATGTATGTTACTGACAAGATATGACACTTTCACAATTCCAACGTTGAAATCATCACAATTTTCATGGATTTCCGTTTGAGATTCGTCCATATATTTTCATTTGTTTAGGTTATATCCGTAATATCATATATGAAATAAATAAAGTGTAAAGTATATTGATTTTAATTTTTTCAGTTCCAGACGTGCCTGTTCGTTTGTTGGTTCCAGGCATGGGGGTCCTGAAGTTACAAGAGGGTGTTGTAGAAGTTTTTCTTGATGGTCATTGGGGATTCGTTAATATAAATTATATCGGACAGTCCGAAGTACATGCTCTTTGTCAAACCCTTGGTTTTAAGTAAGTAAACATAATTCTTTGTTTTATGAACACATTTATACTGCTACCATTTTTGTTTGACTATAGCCTTAAAAGGAGAACGAAGACACCATAAAGACACAAAATGAAATACTAAACTTGAAGAGAAACCTACGATCCCATGAAAAAACGAGGTATAACTCAAAAGTCTACAACACGTTACATATTAAAATTCCAGAGTGGCGCTACGAACCTCACTTAAACCCGGATGTGGTTTCCGGTTATCAAGAAGAACTTCGATGAGCAGATACAAATCATGATAGAATGCATACTTACTTTGATAAATTTTCCTAGAAACTATAAAGACTGAATCATATCTAATTGAACGATTAAGTTAACCATTGCTAGCAACGTAGATTTGCTTTTCATGTCAAATTAAAGGCAACATTTTTTGAACGTAAGATTCTCCATTTTTAACGTAAGATTCTCATTTTGTTCTCCTTAGACTTTTCTAAATGCATGGTTTAAAGGTATTTAAAAATAGACGGTACATACGTCTACATTAAAGCTTTCAAAACATTTGTCTTATAGTTGTTTAAAAGTGAGAGGTTCAGCTAGTTTTTGAACATGGTTTAATTCTTTATTTTCTAAAAATAAAAAAAAAATGCTTGTAACATGGCAGGAGTACAACAGTTATTTTTCATTCGTATGATGTGTATGAGTTTTTGATTTTTTTCCATTTGGTATAAGATTTTCCGTTCAGATTTTTCATTGGAGTTTGATATTTTATTATTCTACTTTTTATTTATTCTCGATTTAGGTATGGTGGTGAGAGTTATAAAGCAACAGATATTTATTTTAAATTCAATTCGCTGGACTATACAAATCCAATTTTGCGAAACCTTTCTTGCTCCGAGAATGCATTACATTTTAATGAGTGCAATCATACGGTATGGGGAGATCGTACATTGGATAGCAGTTGGGATATTTTAGCTATTAAATGCTGGACACATTCAGAAATATGTAAGTTTAAACACAACCATGACAACCTAGCGAACAGTCTGAACTATTAAATGTATTACATAGACTTGTTTATTTAAAGAAATGTTTTTATTATATTACATTCCTGCACCGAAATTCGTCAACTTAATAAAAAATCTAGACCTGTTTCACTATTTTGCAATTCAAGATTGTGGAAAACAATCATACATCCCTAATTTAAAGATATGCACTCAATAAACTAAAATAAAAAAGTTAGCAACAAGTTTTATATGTATTCAATTGAAGATGATTCAGGAGTTCAAGTACGACTAGCAGGATCAAACATAGAACACGAAGGACGAGTTGAAATCTTGCACAACAACGTCTGGGGAACTGTGAATGATTACTGGTATGGATATCCGGGAGCGAATGTGTTGTGCAAAATGTTGGGGTATCCGTAAGTACTGTGTGATTGGAATGATGATAATGTGTAGCAACACATTTATATGATACATTCTTATGAGCAGTTTGTGACATAGTTATATTCTGCATAGGGTTGACATGTCGAACAGGATCTGCCTACTCTTCCGGAGCATTGAGATCATACAGGGTGTTAAATGTAGTTCGTGTTGCTCAGTCTCTGGTTTTCTATGTAATGTTTTGTATCCTGTTGTTTGTCATTTAGTTTTTATTTTCATTTGCATATAAAAAATACAACGTCTGAAATGACTGATCAAATAAACAAGAGAAATCTAGTAAAAAAAATAGAAAAAATGTTGTTAACTAATCATTTAACATTCTTGTCGTTAAAATTGACCGATAAGTCAAAATTATGGACAACTACCTTGCACAAAGTCTTTTATCTTTGACCTTTTTGACCTATAAATGTGGCTGAGGCCTCAAATTAATACTGGAAACACCAGAATCATGATGTAATGTTCCTGAAACTTCTTCATGTTAATGCATTATGTCAAATTGACCCTTATTGACGAGAAATATATTCTGCGAGAACTGTTTTCGTGTTTAAGTTTTTAAAACAATATTTTCACATTATACTGTAAAGACAAATTGACTATTTTTGAGAACTCTGCAGTGTATATTTTACAATAATACTTCATATACTATAATTGAAACATAGAGTTTACATGTCATCTTTCAAAATCTTTTCAAAATCCTAGTTTTTTTCATCACTTTATAAGGATAAAAAGGCGCCAATATATAAACACATTTCCCCACAAATTTCCAATGGCTTATATCTCGAAAACAAGCACACGGACCCTTCAATGCTTCATTTGTTTCTGCTTTTTTAGTTCCTTTATTTCCATATTATCGATGTGTAACAGTCTTTTTAAAAAACTTGTTATTTTGAAACAGAATAGCGTACATCCTTAATGGAAATTTATGAAAATAACAATTGTTAAAAATCGACAAAACAAAAACATTGCTTTCATTGAATCTTTTCAACAGCCAGTGTTGGAATGACAGTAAATACAAAAGTCACGTGAATGTATACAACACTTCCATAATAGTTCATGCATAATAAAAAAGAACATAATGTTATCTGAAAAAAAAGGTTTATAGCAAGTGAATTAGATTTTTAGGTCAATTTTTTCGAATGAATCGGCGGAATGAGGAGCGTATTTCTCATAGTTAAAAATTGCCTTCCTGTCTAGCATTTATCTACTGTTGTAAAATTTCATTCAGTACGTTAATCATGCTAAAATCCTGCGCTAACCAAGTTAACTTTATACTTAAATTATATTATAAGTTCATAATAATCTGCAGGTATGGAGGAGTACCTAAATTTGAAAGAATAGCTCCCGGACAAGGACCAACATGGATAGACTTCATCGAATGTCCTCTTGATGCAAATGATTTACAGGACTGTGAGTTTGAATGGGTTAAGTCAGAAGAAGACATTCACAGAAGTTTGTTTGGATCAGCATTTATTAAATGCAGAACAGAACCGGTCGAAGGTATTTATATAAGTTGCTATAGTTATTATAATTATGACTACCCTATAGTTTTTGTTTGTGTGAACTGCAACAGTTTTTTTCCAATTTATGTATATAATTTTATATGATAAAAAGTAAAATCACAAAAATACTGAACTCCGAGGAAAATTCAAAACGGAAAGTCCCTAATCAAACGACTGGACAACAACTATCATATTCCTGACTTGGTAAAGGCATTTTCAAATGTAGAAAAAGGTGGGTTGAACCTGGTTTTATAGCGCTAAACCTCTAACTTGTATGACGGTTGCATCAAATTCCGTTATATTTACAACGATGCGTGAACAAAACAGACATAATAGTTAAAATAGTCACAATATGGGTACAGCAGTCATCACTGTGTCACAATCTCGAAACAAACAAATATTTAACAAAAAAGCACAAAATATGTAAAATCACAAAATTACTGAACTCCGAGGAAAATCCTAAACGGAAAGTCCCTAATCAAACGGCAAAATCAAATGATAAAACACATCAAACAAATGGACAACAACATCGTTAAGCATTTATAAGATTTAAAAACCACATTCATTGCTTCGCGTGTCTGACGTCAGAAAATGTAAACGACTCATAGGAAGAAAATTTGTCGTTCAAAGTATTTTCAAAAAAAATTATAATTTCACATGGGGAATGGTGGTATACAGGGTTAAAAAAATCAAAAGTTGTGTTAGAACTATTTTCAGAAACAGACAGAGATTTAAAATTATCCAGAAGTTCTTTAGAATTTTTAAGAATCCACATATGGTTTATACCACTACGCGAGTAAAATAATTTTGTCGTTTGTCGTTCAAAGTATTTTCAAATTTATAATAGAACAATAACAAAATGACATATAATAGAACAATAACATAATGACGGGATCTTTAAAAGTACAGAGTCGCGTCACATGAACCAAAGAAACACAAAAAGTCGCACATAAACACCAGCAAAAATGAAAGAAAATACAAACACATTGACGGGATGTATAAGTACCGAGCCACGTCAAATGGATATCACAGAAAACAGACCAAACAGTAAAAGTAATATTAATAATTGAACAAAGACAAATAAAAGAACAATATAACACGTTGTTAAGATGATAAACAACGTCAGTACGCAGAATCTATACATCAAGACCATTATGTATTATTTGTGAAGTTGATACGGAATATTTATCAACAAGGTCTTGGTACCTTCCGATGATATGCATATCTATAAACGTATGAAACGGATTGATCAATTACATTTTCCCCCTTGGTTTACACTTCGATAAACCATGTTTTCGAAACTACTTTCTGCGATCTATTCATGCGCAATACAAATGCATGCATGGATCCCGGGAATTTGAGAAAATTGACATTGAAAAACAAAAATTGTTTCTATTTAAATGCATACTAGTATATACCAGAAAAGAAATAATGCATTAAAGCTTTGAAAATGTAAAAAATTTAAATTCGTATCAAATTCCGGGAAAATTCACGAATAATTTGGCGAATTTACGTCATGTCAAAACACGACGTCATACGAATGAAAACTTTCAAGCGAAAGACTATTTCGTTACTTGTACGCTTCAAATTCGGATAATATGTAATTGAAATTAAGTTTTTGAGGCAGGTGCAATTTTTGTTTTAGATTCTGATGCATTTATCGGACAAATATTTTTTTCAGAGAGTCAAGATGGCGACTTATTCTTTAGTTACAACACGCCATTATGCTTTTGGTGGTAAATATAGAAGCCATCAAACAAAAACAAAAGGTTAATTAGAAATCGAAATTGTTTTGCTGAAGAATTATAAGGATTAAACACATTTTTTCTAGAGGTTATTGATGTGTACACCGGAGCTCTTACTCACAAACTTAACATAAAGGTCCTTCGGACTTTTATTCAGTTTGTGCATCAATAACCTCTTGAAAAAAATGTGTTTAATCCTAAAATAGCGACACAGAATTACTACACCGACACGCTGAGCCGGCTTTTTAAAGTGCTTGTTTAAAGTGCATAGGTCTCTGCTGGAAGAAATGTCAACTCAATCGGCCATATTGTTTTACTCTTAGCCAACCAGTCTTTTATTTCAGAACTTGACGCCGCGAGCTTAGCAGAGAAATAGCTAATTCTATTTCAAAAGTCTTTCGTTTGACCTGACTAGAGTTCATATCAATGACATCACAATCTCGGGGAGACTTTGGAGACAATGCAGACAATATAATAATGTTTAAATACTGTGTACTTTCAAATGATTTGTGGAGTAGGTTAAACATATATAGATATCAGAAGATGTGGTATGAGTGCCAATAAGACAAATCTCCATCCATGTTACAATTTGTAAAAGTAAACCATTATAGGCCACAGTACGATCTTCAACACAAATCAATGGCTCACACCGAACAGCAAGCAATAAGGGGTCTAAACATGACTAGTGTAAAACTATTAAAACAGGAAAACAAAATGTTCATCAATAATAAAAGTACTAGTAGATATACTTATTCCACACAATCTTATCAAAAAAGTTCACTCATTTAAATAAATTGTTTGGTTAATATGAATGAAAATACATTTGCTGCAACTCATTTAAAGCCTTCCTCTCTAACGAGAAAGGTAAATATGTTAAAAAAGTAAAAACATAATAATACCGAACTCCTAGGAAAATTTCAAAACGGACAGTCCTTAATCAAATGGCAAAATCAAAACCTTGAACACACAAAACTAATGGGAAACAACTGTAATATTCCTGTCTTGGTATCGGCATACTTATGTGAATTGTGCTAAGATATTAGAAGCTGCCGATGTTTCCTTGATAATATTTAAGTAAGTTTCGGCAATAAGTTTTATCGATAGGTAGTATGTATTCCTTTTGGGCTCAATTTCGCCCCTTCAAGTGTAGACTAGTATTGTAATAAATCCCAGTCTATGACCTAACTCGATAAAGACCTGTTTAAATTGCATTTAATTGTTAAATTCAACAGCGCATACCGTTATTGTGATAATATTTATTCGTTAAATAATCAAGACTTTTCAAAATATACTGCTGCAATTTACCAAAAGTAACTCCCTCTAATTGAATGAAATATGAATAATCACAACTGTCTTTCTTGATATTTAAAAATATTTCAATTTTACGCGGGTATCCGTTAATCTATTTTTTTACAAAAGGAACGACTTTTTGTTCCCTATTCTAAATTTTTCATTTTTTCAACAGACATATTCCTTCGGCATCATCTTACAGTTTTTATATATTTTAACTTTTTCACTATGCTCATGTCTATTGTGACGTTTTGGATTTCAATTAACGTAATCTGTGTATTACTGGAAAAATATGAAGTCATCAAAAATTGCTTAAAACCTTTACTTAATTTTTCCATCGATATAACAATTATGTTTACCGTTTGATTGTACTTGTAGAAAACAAAATTCAAACTAGATAGGCCATCCTCATTTTTACAGAGATGTTGTTTACCGAACACTGTATTTTAAAAAAGATCCGGGTAAACTTATCGATCCTATAAATAAACTCATTCTGAAAGGATACCATTTAAACACTGTCATTAAATCTTTGAATTTTGTTTTATTTGTATTTTTATTGATTTTGTCAAAAATAATTTAAACTCAAACTAATTTTTGAGACGACGATGCTCCTTTTGCTCCATTATACGGAATTTATATATCGTTCGTTATGTCTTTTACTTTAGTCAATTTGGCTGTACCTGTAGAACCCTACTAAAAACGGTATTTCATATCCTATATTTTACGGTAATATTGTACTTTAGGCGCGGAAATCACTACATGATCCGTGTTAACTCATGGACCTTGCAACACACTTATTATTAAAGGTTATCAATGTTTTAATCAAAACTTTGAATATTATTTTTCCTTGGCCCAAATATCGGTTTGTCATCAACAAATTAACACATAACTAAATATGTATTCTTTTTTAAACATGCAACAGTTCATTTTCTATATAGAAATTGCTTTATCTATATAAAACATTATACATATTTTTTATAGGGTTAAATTCTTACAAGCCTACTGCCTGTCGATATTTTAATTGTTTGTCATTGCACAAGTCATGACTTCCATGACGTTAAAATACTAAATCCCAGGGATGCGTTTCAGTTGATTTATTTTTTCGCGATTTTTGCGAGTAAAAAAATAACGTGAATATAAATAATCGCAAAAAATCTCGAAAAAAAATCGCCGCGAATTTGGATAGAAAGGGTTTGAAGCGAAATAACAACAACAACAACAACAACAACAATACTTTATTTAAAGAGGGTTACACCGTTAGCTATATAACTAATCTTCCCGGAGGCCCTCATCATAAAAAAAATCAAACAAAATGCTAACATATACATTGCCTAAATTAGTATAAAAAGACAAGTATGATAATAATGTTTAATAAAGGCAACAGTAGTATACCGCTGTTCGAAATTCATAAATCGATTGAGTAAAAAAACAAATCCGGGTTACAAACCAAAACTGAGGGAAACACATCAAATATAAGGGGAGAACTACGACACAACAGAAACACTACATTAAAATTTACACACACAGCAACTAACTATAATATAACAATGGCCATTTTCCTGACTTTGTACAGGACATTTAAAGAAAAATATGGTGGGTTGAACCTGGTTTTGTGGCTAGCCAAACCTCCCGCTTTTATGGCAATGTTAAATATAACATTAAAATGACAACATTACATGACAGGAATACAATACAAATAAATGGGAGAACATATAGGACAGAGAAACATAGGAATAGTAGCTAACAATACAACTTGATAAAATATTATGAAAAAAATAACGTGATGACATAATCAGTTTTCAATATTTTTATAAAGCTAGGTTGATTTCAATAAATGATCTGTTATTTTGTATTTGAAAGAATTAACATTTGTAATATTTTTCTTAACGGTATTGGCAAATTATTCCACAAGAATGGTCCAGAATACATAAAAGATTTTTTGAACAATTCTGTTTTTGGTTTAGGGAGTATGAGGTTTCCTTGAATAGCATTTCTCAAGGGGTATGGATTTATGTCTGAAACATAACGAAACTTGTTAGTAAGATATGATGGTGCGTCATTTTTAATGCACTTAAATGTCATCACAAACTTGTGATATTTTATTCTCTGTTCAACTGTCATCCAGTTTAAGTGTTTGAATAAGGGCTCGGAAGGAGCGAATGGGTCTGTTTCTAGTATTAATCTAGCAGCTCTCTTTTGTAATTTTAATATTCTATCTAAACCCTCACTGCTACAATTACTCCACACTATACAACAATAATTAATTAGTCGCAAGATATAACCATTATAGAATAATTTTCTGCAGTCTAGATTTAGAAATTTCTTAGGTTTTAACAATAGATATAGCCTAGATGAAATTTTTGAGCAGATCACATCAATTTGGTTTGTCCATGTAAGGGAAGGGTCAATTTTAATGCCTAAGAGACTTTCGCATGTGGAAGATTGTATCAGTTGATTGTTAATAGTTATACAACTCTCATTGAAATTAAAGCATCCGCGACAATAAGTTGGTTTACAGTATATTGTGTGTGAAGAAATTAGTTTTATCCTTACTTACTTACTTAATACAATAATTTTTCATCCATACTCAGTTTTAACTGAAAAAGATTTATCGAATAAAGGCAACTGTAGTATACCGCTCTTCAATAGTAATAAATTGAAAAAGCGAAAGCAAAACGACAATGTTAAACATACCACTAAAAATGACAACATTAAGTGACAGGAATACAGTACAAATAAACGCGAGAACACTAAGGACAGATAAATAAATAAATAATATAATAGTACATTACAACATGTAAACAACTGAATGCAACGGCCATCTCCAACTCCAATGAATTTACGCCAGAACACCACAATATAATTATAAACTGTGCATCACTTGAAATTAATACTTCCTAGCACTCACTTTTTTCTACATTTGAAAATGCCTGTACCAAGTCAGGAATGTGACAGTTGTTGTCCATTCGTTTGATGTGTTTTATCATTTGATTTTTCCATTTGATTATGGACTTTCCGTTTTGAATTTTCCTCGGAGTTCAGTATTTTTGTGATTTTACTTTTTTCAATATTTTTCAGCAAATATGCCGCGATACTTTTTCTGGATTAACATCAATAATATTTAAAAGCATTTTATTTTATTGTCATATTGCATGGGTAAGGAAATTTGATACTATTTTTTTATGTTGATATATGATTTTGATATAGTTCAATATTTCGTAGGTTTCGTAGAATTAGGAAATGTTTTTTTTTATTTTCTTTTACACAACTGCATACAAATTCGATCTTTAACAACATGTGACATGCAAGACAACCTTATATATACTGTGTCTCTATTCCTTGTAATAATTGTAGTTCCAGAAGTTAAGTTTAGACTAAACGGAACATGGAGTGGTCAAGGTATTGGTATACTTGAGTACTTTAAAGACGGGTACTGGGGATATGTGTGTGGGGCCTATATGGGAACCTCTGAGGCATCGATGTTCTGTCACCAATTAGGATTTACGTGAGTAGAGAATATAATTAACTACTTAATCATATCACATATAACCAGATACAACGGTTACTAAACTGCATTACATTCATGGACTTATTCCAGATTTTAAAAGAATTATAGGGAACTGCATTTTTTATCAAAGATTGACGTTCTCCATGTTTGTAGATAATTCATGCATATCATTACCGCTTGATACTTATCTGGTAAACTTGCACAAATACAAGGAATATCTGATTATTTTCCAGCAGAACTATTCAAGTACTGTAAATGCTTGAATGTCCGTTTTTGTACTAAGAATAAATACAGTAATCTGTTTAAGTAATTTATTATATAGAGCTTTCAAAATTCCAGGTTTTACTTCATGTAGTTTATAATTTGAAAGTTTTCAAAAAGGAAAGATTTGGTATAATTGACAATGAGACAACTATCCACCACAGACCAAATTGCATACTTGTTAAGAACCGAACGGCCTTGCATGGTATAGAAATTTGTTATGAATTTGTTGCCAAGGTTGCACTGAAACCAAATTTATTTTAAACTAACACTTCTTTCTAGAAACAAGCGCATAATCTGATCTGAACTAATACAATATAACAGTTTGATTTGATTTGTACTCTTTATTTACGTCGAACCGTGATAAAATGACAGTAAATTCAGTATAATTACAACATGACTAAACGATACCTAAGACGCATGCGCAGATAACGTTCAAAAGTACACCTTTTGAAATATGAAATCGAACGTCTTTAAACTAGGAAGACAATTAAGAAGAAAACATGACTTAAAATATAAGACCTTTAAAATGGAAAATGACTATTGGCTTAGATTTCTCTTTTGCGAACCATTAACATTGTCTAAATTGTAAGAAATATACTGCATTATTTTGTTAAAATGGACTTTATAAAAAAAATATTAATCAACGAAGTACAGAAATATCTAATCATTTTGAATTGGAACTTATTAACAATGATACAGACAGATATATAGATTTAATATGTTTTCTTATCAAATTATTGATATTACTAAAATGCTATTTGTTTTATGTTTTGTTTGTATATTTTTACAGTAAAGGTGGTCGTCTTTTGTTTGGATATAACAATTATGGATATAGGAAAGGACAAAATCATTTTAAACATGATATCGGACCAACCATATTAAAGTATATAGAATGCCCTTGGGATTCAGTTGAGCTCGATCAATGTTCAGAACGTTTATGGGCTTATAAAGATGACATACTATCTTGTGAAATGCACACACTAGATGTAAAACTAAAATGTAATACAGAACCTTTCCCAGGTAATGTTTTAAAACTTTAAATCACAATTCGTGTGTTAGAGAAAAAGTAAAATCGAATGGACAACAAGAGAAATTATGTACTTGCATGTAAATGACGAAATGTAGCAATATGCATATTAAGACATTTTAAGCGATGCTCAGAAATATTCGAAAAACAAATTACATCAAATATTGAGTTTGGTGGAAGGAACACTATTTCAGTTGCCTGCTAGATGAGCAATGAAATCAGTTTTACCTTCATCAGCGGTTACAGCATTCATTCAATGGAAAAATACATCGAACTTGTATTGTAATGGCCTATCAAACATGAATGACAAATATTTTCTTTTCTCCGGACGATGCAAACAATTACTTCAACTACAATTTAAATTGCAAGTAGACACAATTGAATAAATAACTTGGACCCAAATTGGAATTGCACATCATCGCAATTAAGGTCTTGAATAGCAAACAATAACTTTGATTGTATTTTAAGTTTTGGCTGAAGGGAGTTTGAAGATACAATATCAATAAAAGCTGTTTCAAACAAGCTTAAATTTTACATATTAAACATCTTATTTCCTTGCTTTTAATGATCAATTAATAGTAAACATAAAACATGACCAGATCCGTACCCGTTCTATGATTCTAAATTTAGTAAGCAGAAAGTAAACATTCTAACTTTGATGCGAATAAAAAATTGATAAAAAAAAAAAAAAAAAAAATTGCAAAATTATGGTTCTAGAGGAACAGCTTGGGGTAGTTATTAAAAAATAAGCATGTTTTCATAGCAAACTGACGGTATATAACAAAGAGGTACATGTAATGTGGTCATCTAAGATGTTTATCACTGTGTTTGTCAGTGTGCACTGTTTTGACGAAATCTTGCCATACGAAACAAGAGTCTTATGCCTATATCAAATTGCAAGACAGATACGATATATCTGTGTATTGAACCACCAGTGGTTTTTGATAATTAGAATGCTTAGATATGGACACCGATTTACAGTTAGTTTTCTTTTCCTTTTTGTGACATTAGTAAAACTGTTGATTCGCATGCACAGTAATTGACTCCCATCCCACCGAACTAGCTGGTCCTCCCTTATGAGTTCACGCTTACCTTAGTCAACAACTTGACTTTCTGTTGTCCTCAGTGATTTCTAAGTAGAAGCTATTTTGATTATCAAAACGAACACTGACATTGTATAGTTCACTTTGTATTAATCCTAACACAAAGAAAAGTTTAAGTAAACAAATCGAATTATTGTCATTTTACATCCAGGGAATCAACCTAATAAAAACCAAATGCTTCTGTGATGATTTAAACCTACTACTTTGTAACCCTGTAAAAGACTACATACTATAAAGGTTACTTGCTTTACATATGTAAATATGTGGTCATTGAGCATCTGATCGCAGGCAAATATTTCACTTGTTGGCTTTTTTTAAGATTACGAAATACAACTATTTGGTGGAAATTCAAACAATTCTGGACAACTTCTTGTGAAATATGAGAACACATGGTTGAAGGTAACACCTGAACGATTTGAAATAAGAAATGTAGCTGTTGTTTGCCGGCAGCTTGGATTTAGGTACACAATAATTTTGTTTTATCATATATGTTAATAAAAAAAATCAAGTTGAGAATGTACTTTGATTAATGAGGGTGATAAAGGGTTATTTTTGTGCAACGTTTTCGGCCTTTTATTTCACGTGTTTTCGTGTTTGGACGTTTTATTCAACGTTTTCTCGTGTTTGGTTCGATTTTCTTGCTTCGTGTTTCCCCATATTTATTTTCCGTGTTTCGTGTCGGAACTCTTAATTTCACGTGCTTGTCCCGCATTTGATTAAAAAGTAAACCGTGACTTATAAAAGTCACCCCAGATATCAAGTTACTATGAATGTTTTATTAATTTTTTTAAATCAGATGCAACTAGCGTACGCTTAAAGGTCACCGCAGGGTCTTCTTGTCCGTTAATAATGACTGCATGATCTCCAAGAATGGCGGAGTTATAACTTCTAGTACTTGTTTCTTAAGATATACGATCTTATTTCTCGTGCTTCGTTTTTTCCGATTATTTTTCCGTGCAACGTTTTTGCGAATTTAATTTCACGTGTTTCAGTGTCCCCCCCCCCTTTTACCAACCTCATTAATTAATATAATATAACAATAAAAAAAACACCACATAAAACAACATTGTTTTGGTATTTAAATGATCTGGGTGAACTTTTTCATACTAATTGTTGTACTGTACATCTTATAAGCAATGCGGCGTGACAAAAGAAATGACATTCCCCAGGAAGATTTGAAACAGGTGTGAATATTCACATTCCTAACGCGTGATTGATTTTCTATACCAGTCAATCTCAATTTCATCGAACAATAATATAAATCATTTGACTATTCCATCTTTAACACAAGCTTTCATCATTCAAAAATATAAGACAAATTTAATTAATTGAACTTAAGGATACCACACAATAAGACAAATTCAATGAGTTGAACGAAAGGATATCACACAATAAGACAAATTGAATGAGTTGAAATAAAGAATACCACACAAATAAGACAAATTCAATGAGTTGAAATAAAGGATATCACACAATTAAACAAATTGAATGAGTTGAAATAAAGGATACCACACAATAAGACAAATTGAATGAATTAAAAAAAGGATACCACACATACATTTAAATCTAATTCATATCATGACTTTCATATAGTCATTTGTTTTTAAATATTGCATTGTTTGAACCTGTCCTAAGTCAGGAATCTGATGTTCAGTAGTCGTCGTTTGTTGATGTGGTTCATAAGTGTTTCTCGTTTTTATATAGATTAGACCGTTGGTTTTCCCGTTTGAATGGTTTTACACTAGTAATTTTTGGGGCCCTTTATAGCTTGCTGTTCGGTGTGAGCCAAGGCTTTGTGTTGAAGACCGTACTTTGACCTATAATGGTTTACTTTTATAAATTTTGACTTGGATGGAGAGTTGTCTCATTGGCACTCATACCACATCTTCTTATATCTATTTACTATAAATGTAGTTTCAGAACTAAACTTTACTTTAGAAATGATATAAATAATCAACGTAGCACCTTATCGCCCTTTTTTCAAGCAAAATATATGTTTAGAATCAGCATAAATGGAGCATCCAGGAGAAAAACAAAGATGACAAACATCTTTAAATCTGTTGCCTAGTAATAAACGCAATATGACTCAGAAGTGTTACGGAGACACTGAAGTGCGATGGTCACGCCGAAGTGCGATGGACCGTTCGCTGATGTGCGATCATTTTTTTGACGCATTTTGGCTAGTATAAAATCTACAGATGTGCATTTATTATGAGAAGTACATGTTGATGATTTCCACCATTTACCGTTTATCGTGATGCGGATAGTATGTTTGTGGACCCGATTATGTTAAGAGAACGTTACACTCCATTGACGTGAAAAAAAAAAAAAAAAAAAAACATTTGGTAGATTTCGAAAAAAAGCCGTAGAAGGTTAACCTACCAGTTTTTAACCAATCCTTCCTGTTTCTCTTCGTATATACAGGTATTTAAAGGATTTAAGCCCAACATCAACTTAAAACCCTTGAAAACTGCTTCTAACATACAAATTGATTTCTATGTTGACGTGAAAAGCGTTGAAATGTAATTTGTGTAAAAACCATCAAACTGCAGCGTGATTAAAATATATCCCAGCGTCAAAACACCGAGCCTCAGCCTGACCATGGCGGTTAAGAGTCCATTATTCATTATTTATATATAATTTTCAATACAAATTACTATGCTCGTCTTGCTTAAAAACCAACTATCGATTTGTAGCTCCATGATGTTGAATTTCTTTTCAATATATTCTAATCTCAAAGTATATTACACTGTTGACAAAACAATATGTGTCAGAAATGATTTTAAGTATAAATGGTTAATTTCAACATGTAGACATAAAGGGGTAGAACTATATCAAGCGTACATTTAAACTCATCGAAAGACATCCATGTCAAGATAAAACTGACAACGCAAAAAACAAAAACGACGAAAAGATAAACGTGAGTATACCAAGCATAATATACAATGTAGAAATCTTAAGACTAAGCATTGACCCCCAACACACACCAGGTGTTATCTCAGATGCTCCGGAAGGGTAAGCAAATCCTGCTCGACAGGTTGAATAATGATGAGATACGGATCATGAATTTAAACCACAAATACAAGGAACATTCTTTATTAATTACTGTTTGTTTTATATTTACAGAAGAATATTCTATTTAAATGTTCATCAATAGATATTACAAACAAAAGGAATTGTGTATTTGTCAATCAATGTAAAAAAAAATGTTTCCTATAGCATATTGAAGAAGTATAAGAAAAATATCAAACTCCAGTGTTAAATTAAAAGAGGGAGTTTGTAAAAACTGGGAATAATCAAATGTTAAAACAAATCTAACACGAACGCCAACAAAAAGTAGATGTAGCTCACTTTTTCGACAAATAAGAAATTAGAATATACATACAAAGGTAGAAAAAGGAAAACAACACTTTAGAAAAACCAATGCGACAGAACCGCACCTTCGTATGCATCCGCACCAGAAACGCCTTAAACCAAAAATTCGATACCTGAGTATATAAAATACCACGTCACGTCAAGATGCAAAATATCAAAATGAACATAATAGCACAAAGACAATTAAAGGCAATAATGTAAAGTTAAAAAATGCTTCAGCTTCTTAAATTTTATTTAAAGGCAATGCTAAGAACTAAAAAGATATTTTACAAAATTTAAACATTGCAACCAAGTGCTTGCTACAGATTTACGTAAGCCTCTAATAGAATAATTTGAGGGAATATCAAAGGGGAAAATTTAAATCTCATACAAATTCGAAATAGTGGTGACCTAGCCACTATTTCAGAGATTGAAATCTCATAGGTCGAGCAAACGAAACACATGTTAAAATAACTCTCCATAAAGAATAAAGACTGACCATAAAAACCGGATTTGATCTAATGGCATCCGTCTTGTAATGCATTGTAATAATATACCAAAGATGTAAACTGTGTATTACAGACATGGTGGAGAAATGCACGTTAATATGTCCATTTACGAAAATAGTAAAAATTGGTTGAAACTGGTATGCAATGGACAAGAACAAAATGTTGGACAATGCAACGGAGTGCATAGATTGTCTAGCAATGCGTGGTATAGTTACAGGAGTGCTGCGGTGTTCATTGAGTGCTATGATATCAACGGTCCAGGTATAAATAAAATCGTTTGTAGTGTAGTTAAGATTTTTCTAAATTATTGAATGACAATCATCAAATATTGCATAAAGAACACACTTTATGTCAAATAATATAAATACGAAGATGTGCTTTGAGTGCCAATGAGATAACTCTCCATCCAAGTCCCAATGTCTTAAATGTCAATAATTATCGGTCAAAGCACGGCCTTTAACACGTAGTCATTGTTCACTCCGCACTGCAAGCTATTAAGGTCCCCGAAATGACTAGACTAAGTTTAAAACAATTCAAACAAGAAGACCAACGATCCTATCATTATATATAAAAAAAAAACGCGAAACGAGAAACACTTACGAACCACACCAACAAAGACAACCTCTGAACAATAGACTCCTGTTATAGGAACAGGTGAATTTAAATGCGGGTTGAAATGTTTAACAGGCGCAAATGAATTGGTTAGCTTCCCTTTAAGTAACACGTTTAACTCTTTGCTTTAATATTTGCTAATGTGCTTTGTCTATATGCCTTTCTGTGCTTCTGTGATACATATTTGTTGGTTTTTATAGCAAATAAGATAATAACACAATGGTGATTCCTTTTCCTCTATTTTTGACATTTTTACCTATTACGCATGTCTGTTTGTTTTGTTCACACATCGTTGTCAATATCAAAGAATTTGATGCGTAAGAGGTTTAGCTAGCTTTTAAGCCAGATTTTATCAACCATTTTCTACATAAGAAAATGCCTGTACCCAAGTCAGGAATACTTCAGCTGTTATGCATTCGTTTGATGTGATTTAGATTTTGATTTTGTAATTTGATCAAGGACTTTCCGTTATGAATTTTCCTCGGAGTTCAGTATTTTTGTGATTTTACTTTTTAGGTCACATGATAAGCTGTAAAAAAATACCACAGGTCATTAGGTATATATCAAGCAAAACACTTGGAACAAATAACAAATAACTGATTCGGTTTTGAACATATCTCTAGTTGATACACAAATGAAAGTTTTATAAAAAAAGTTTATTAAAATTAATCGAGCTAAATTAGTTTTAGTCACGTTGTTTGGTATCACTGAAACCGGCTGAACGCCAATCGATTTATTATCTATTCTGCTTAGATGTCGAGTTACAAAGCAAAATATTGCAAATTTCGTAGTGATTTGCAAAATGTAATTATGAACTGAAGTTGCTTCAACTAAGGTATGTATGGAGGCCTCAGTGATTGTGCTTCCCTGATTTAGTGAAAAGATGTCATTAAATGACTTTGCTTTGAGATTCAAATTTAAATCATGATTAATTTCTTTTAGAACTCAAAATGACTGTCTCTTTAAAAAGTGATGGAAAAGTTAATGTCCATCGATTAGGAGCAACATGGCAAATATGTGCCTCTGCATGGAATTCTTATCAGGAACCTCTATGGGATGATGTAGGTGCAACTGCTGTCTGTCGTATGCTCAATAATAGGTAAAATTATTAGACGTTTCAGAATTTAATGCATTCTGGGTAATATGCTCCTCTGCAAGGAATCTATATGAGATGCTGTAGGTGCAAATGCTGTCTGTCGTATGCTCAATATATATATATATTAGGTAAATTGATTAGACGTTTCAGAATCTAATGCAATCTGGGTAATATTTTCAAAGCGGACACCAAAAGGTTGTGATTGGTTTAAATTGGTAATAAACAATAGAATATCAACCAATGACGTTACGATTCTTTCTTTTTTGGTTTACGAACATTGAGATTACCAATTGTCCTTTGGATTCTGAAATCGTGAATTAAAACAATTTCATTAATAAAAATTCTTTAAAAAATTAACATTTGAAAGTTGTGTAATGTTGAGATCATAAAATACAATGTTTAAGCGAATTTTACGCTGAAGTTGCAAGTGTACCAGCAAAAAATCCCTATCTTATATTATAATAATACTATGAAGAAATGGTTTTCTGTTACACCACTCTCCTAAGTTGAGGACAGGATTGAAAGCTCGTAATGCAATTAACCATCGCCACAAACGTAGTGTGCCAACCCACGCTAGGAGCCTTACACTCATTAGTTTTCGTTGGATTGCAATAGTTGATTTTGTTTTGCTTTTAGTATAAACCAGTTACCTCATTCTCTAAATATCAAACAATTTTGATTCACGCAGCATTTCAATTTTATAAGAGGGAAGGAATGCCTTTTACCCTATGTCTTCAAACAGTCATTTTCGGCTACCATCATAATTAGACGATTCTTTTATCGTCAAAACGAAAAATATAAATGTTATCGTCATGTGCAAAAAAATTAGCATTAACGTCGTTTAGCAACATGTGTTACCGTTATTCGTCATTACAACCTTGTCGTAGTACGGCTTACTCTTTATTAAGTTTCCGATCATAATGATTGTCGAAGTTTGTACACATTTTTGTCTGTTTGTCTATGTTGGAAAGTTATCGTATTGTCAGCTGTACTACATTCCTTATTTCATTATTATCAAAATACTACCAGGCCATAAATGGAAGATCTGAATGTTCTTTAGTGTCTTTGACAATCCTTTACAATATCAAGTAATTAAGAAGTAAATCACTCCGCTTGGAACATAGATGAAACTTTATAAAACTATTCAAATCCATTGATTGATTCTCTCAATTTGACACGTTTGCTTATGACAGCTTTTGCGACCTCAATTTGGCGTAAGATTAATGGGTGATGTAGAATAAAATTTCATCGCAGACTTGTTCCGCAGCAGGATATGTAAAATCAACTCGGGTTTTGTCGTGGCGTTATCAGATGATATTCAACGTATGAGTTTTGAAATTTCCTGGTATCTTTCGCATCTTTGATAATGATAAAAAGTAAAAGAACACAAATACCGAACTCCAATGAAATTCAAATCAGAAAGTCCTAGCTTATCAAATGACAAAATCAAAAGCTCAAACACATCAAACAAATTGAGAACAGTTGAAAAGCCAAATCAGTTATGAAGTGAAACAGCATTGAAATTCAAAATGAAAAAAAATAATTATTCTGACGTTTTACTAGAAGTAAATTTTAAGAAAAAAATCTTATGTTATTATTACCAGAAAGGAAAGAAAAAACGGAGTGTTATCATAACCTTATGAGCAAAGCATCTATGAGTTTGACTGTCCCTCTGGTATCTTTCGTCCCTCTTTTAGACACATCATTGGTATTTTTATCAGATTGATTTCATTTATGTAAATAACGGGATGAAATATTCTACTAGTTTCAGCAATGCAACTGCAACACACATACCATATGATTATAAAGGATTTCCAGCAACAGCAAATAACATACAACAACTTTACTGTCCGAGGGGTGCTTCACATCTTGGAGATTGTTTCTACGGGGGTTACATAAGTTATAAAGAATCAAAGTTAGCATCTCCATGGCAACCAGGTGCTTGCAGGGAGGAAGATTCATACTACACGTTAACACGACGAGGAGGTGTTCGATGCAACATATAAACATTCTACATACTTATTCAATGCAACATATATATATATATATATATATATATAGTATATACATAAGCATTCGACATAATTATTCAGTGCAACATATGAACATTTGACATACTTTTCCAATGCAACATATTAACATTTGACATACTTATTCAATAAAACATACAAACATTTTACATACTTATTCAGTGCAACTTTTAAACATTTGACATCCTTATTCAATTCAGCTTTTAAACATTTAACATACTAAATCAATTCACCTTTAAAACATTGACACACTTATTCAATGCAACTTTTATACATTTGATATACTTATTCAGTGCAACTTTTAAACATTTGAAATACTTATTCATTATAACTTTAAAGCATTTGACATACTTATTCAATGCAACTTTTAAACATTCGACATGCTTATTCAAAAACATGTCAACATAATTATTCAATTTCTCATATGAGCAGTTGACATACTTTTTCAATATGATTCGTTTTTGGCAAGAGTTTGAACATTGATCCAAAAAACTACTTAAACTATTATATTTCAAATGTGTTATTTTCATAATCAAAAACTCCTAAGTTGTATTAAGGATGTTCGCTACTCTGTTTCAAAATAACAAGCTTTTGAAAAGACTGTTCTAAAATGATAGTGTATAAATAAAGGAACTCAAAAAGCAAAAAAATGAAGGGTCGGTGTGCTTGTTTTCGAGATATAAGCCATTGAAAATTTGGCGGGAAATGATTTTCTCCAGATTTTTCATACATTTAATATTGTCACCATTTTTCTTTCAAAAACGATGAAAAAATAACAAGAATTTTATAAGATTTTCAAAGATGACATTTTAAACTACTATATGTAATCAAAATATGGAAAGAAAAGTAGGGGTTAGTGGGCAAGATTTTTTAAATATCACTACATGGATAAAGCCAGAGGATTCCAAATATCTGGCAAAAATTCAAAAACAAGAGGAGCGAACATCCTTAAGATCGAATTATAAAATTCGTTATCTAAGTAACATGCAACAAAACTGACCCAAAACTTTGAAAGTTATTCTAATTTTTGAATGCCAGATGATTTAGACAGTTTCAATTTGTGTAACCTCTATCTCTGGTCATACCCCTTACAGATAGTCATAGAAAAGGAATTCGAATGATAGTAAACCTGTATTCTATCTATTTGTTGAGCAACATGCTTGTATACCAGAGGATGCATTTTGTTGAGCTCACTTTCAGGATTTGCGAGAATTCTTTAGCGTAGTAATGATTATACTTATGACTTTTACATTTTGTTATTCATGAACCGATCATGTAAAGTTAGGTGTTTTTTTATTTATCTTTTGGCTGTCAGATTTGTTCATAAGACAAAACGACGTTACGTTATGACATTGTTGAATATTTCTACAACTGACATGGTTCTGTGACCATTTGCTGCTGCTTATTTTACATGCAAGAAAATTCGTGTGTCTGCTTCCTCCTGATTGCAATGTTTGAGTGTTTCTGTGTCTTTATGTCTCTTGTGGAGAGTTTCTCGTTGGCAATCATACAACATCTTCTTATTTTCATATTTGAGTTCTTCAAGAATTATTGACTGACGGCAGACAATCCCTTCTCCTCGAGTGACTATAACACTAAAAGTTGTGTACTACCCCTGCCATTGGTTGTGCCTTCATGGACAGGTATTTCATTTTATCAATATTGGAAAAATTGATGCGTTATGTATCTACAATGGTCTACATGATAACAGATTGAGGTTTTATTCGGAAACGAGTAGGTAAATACAAAAAATATCTTTGAATACTTGAGTACTTACCAAAACAGACATGGTTTACAAATCGGCTCTTTTTACTTAGTGCAACCTAAACTATGTATTTTCCAAATTAGTAAGTTACTATGTACACAAATTATTCCGTTCTGGCAGTAAAACTTTTTCTTAAGTAGGGTGACTGTTTTGGTCGTTGTTGGGATATGTCTAAATACATTGTCACGTCTGGATTGTCCCACTGTACGTTGAATAATTTTTTAAACAACTCTAGTTCTTTGAACAACGCCTATTATAACATTGAATAGGTGTCATCTATTCCACATACTATAATTTCAAGTTGTAGTTAGACCTCCACATTTTCTTTCCGATCGGAAATACTTTGCCGAACATATAACTATTGTATAAATTTAATAGTTCATCTTGCATATGCAAAACATAATTGCCATTTAGTAAGGAACAATCAGTTTATCAATCTATAAAGACCAAAAGTCATATTGTATAGTTAGTTAAAAAGTCACCGACATAATTACATCTTAAACCTGTAACTCCAGAAAATCAATGCTATACTAGTACTTTAACTACATTTCTGATCATGCAAATCGCATTTTTGTACAGCTTAACAGATTTTGAAAAGATCAAAACTTTCAATTATCATAAAACGAAAAGCTAACGCCAATTCCCCTGTATTGATTTCACGAAATGGGTCAAAATCTAAAAGTTCTACAAAAAATTGTATATTTAAAAGTATTAATAATATTTTTAAATATTAAATATTTTTTTAATAATTTTCCTTCCCACTTACTTTCCTTATAATCTATATGTTATTCAGCACAACTTATTTCAGTTGAAGTCAATTAGAGATTAAATTGCAACTTTTACGTGTCGAAACCTTTTCATCGAAGGACATCGCTTACAAAAGGAACTAGTTTGTGACCGAAAAAAAAAAATGAATTACTTTACTTTCTACAGAAATATGGTGTAGGTAAAAAATACTTTTCTTATATATTTTATGGGTCAATTTGTCAAAATCTGTCAAAATTGCGGTTTTCGGGTATAATTAAAAGTTTATAAAAAGTAAAATCACAAAAATACCGAACGGCGAGGAAAATTCAAAACGGAAAGTCCCTAATCAAATCACACATCAAACGAATGGATAACAACTGTCATATTCCTGTCTTGGTTCAGTCATTATCTTATGTAGAAAATGGTGGGTTAAACCTGGTTTTTATCTAGCTAAACCTCTCACTTGTATGACAGTCGCATAAAATTCCATTATATTGAAAGCGATGTGCGAAGAAAACAAACAACTTTGTTACCTGTTCAAAACTTATCCATGATTTTGATGGAACAGAAAAGTCAAACATTGGACTAATTAAACATTGTAATATATGAATCTTATTAATGATCTTATTACCTGTTATAGGTCCCTGATATGAATTAAGGGGGTAGACCTTGGTTCAGGGAGATAACTCTTTAAATCAGTTATGCGTTTGTAAAAGTCAAGTTTCATCAATGTATTTTACGCATTTACCTGAAACAGATTGGAAATAATCTATGTAACCTGGAAGCTTAGAATATATTTATGAAAATGGTTGACACAAACGTACTAATGATTTTAAGATTATCCCTTAACCAAGGTCTACCACCTTAAATTCAGCGGAAATTAACCTTACCTCTTTCGAATGAAACATCGTTTTACTATAACCTATATTATTAAATCCCGTTTTCAAATTAACAAAACCATCATGCAGGTGAGGAAATGCCTAGTGGTCCACACATGTTCCATGTGCCGTAGAACTGACTTTTTTGTTGCTTCTACACAGAAAAGATTTTCTCCATTGTAAGACGTATACTCATGCACTAATAGTTGAAAAATATTGTTTGTGTTTTTTCTTTATGCAAAACATACAATAGCCATCAACAACCGATCGCAATTATATAATTCATAACACGTGTCATTTCTAATATGCGCCATGTGAACAATTGTAAGTGTATATACTAATCTTCTATTTGTATGGTACTTTTCAACTTTCACAATTATAGCAGGATAAATAATAATAGCCTCACATTGGTTATACATAAAAAGGATACCAGTCATCACCAAAAATAACTGCACAGTACAACGGACCACATGCACGTACAACAACTGATTTCTCCATAAATAAAAATGAATGACAAACAAACAAAGTAAAAACAAAATGACAACTACAGGTCACCGTACAACCTTCAAAAATGAGCAAAACCCATTCCGCATATTAGGCTATAAAACCCGATCTTTACCCCTAAAACCGTCCAGGTCTTTTCAATAGAAAACCAACTGAAATGATATCCTTACTGTTTCGTGTGATATGACCTTTGTTAGCCAATGTTGGTCGATTTGTGACGGTAAACAAAGTAGCACGAAGGAGCCATATTAATCGAGTGACAAATCCGAGAAGATTATAATGCGTACCATGTTGCAATAAACGAAACGAATTATGCGTATTCGATACTCTCACTAGCTAAGTTTCGATATAAATGTACTTTGAATACATGATACGATTCTGATTTTATTACAGATAAAACAATCAATCTCAAACTGCTGGCATTACAAAAAAAAAAAAAAAAAACAACGTTTGTTATCTCCAGTTCCTTTGTTCTATTGAATATTATTATCTTATAAACGAAATACAACGAATATAATCAGCTGAAAACATACTTGTTTTAATTGTATGCTATTTTATGAAAGTTTTGCTAATTTAATGATCGAGAATAAAAAATAGAAGGATTGAGATTTCCGTAAACTTTTAAAACCCCACCTGAGTTGTATGTGCCTGTTATGGGTCGGAAAATGTCAGCGGTTGTCGTTTGGCATGTCTTATTGCGTCTCGTTATTTGTTGGTAATATCATAATTTAGTCCTTCAATTACTGAATCAATTGCTTGTTAACAACATCTCCCTGTATTCATATTCATTAAGTATTTGTATAAAGAACAGCAGCTTAAAAACTATTAACCATCTTTCATAAATCATTTTGTTTCAGTGTCGAAGAGAGCAAAAACGATAACAAAACAAAATCAAAATAAAGCTTACAACATCAAGATAAAATCAAAACAAACAAAAGACAAAGAAAGTAAGGCAAAGAAAAGACTAAATACAACAAAACAAATATTTTGGTGATATGTATAATATTACAAGTCCAATTTGTAGACTTGGGCTGTTTTTAGCTTTTTTGCCGAGTTGTTCTCTCTTTGGAACGTTCATTGTTTCCATTACATATTTTATAAAAACAAAAGCTCGTAAATCCAGACACTTGAACGTGGTAACTAGAATTCGTATTATTGTAACCACTTTGATCATTCAGTACATTTTCAGTAAAAGTATCTATACAAACTTTTCCTGGAATATGGACATACACAGATTGATAATTTAGTCTTATAT